GTTTCAATTCAGTTTTTCTAGGGAATCTGCTAATCTGCTGTCTGTTTTTCTTCTTGCTACTTGTTGAAAATTTGTTTTAACAGGAAATCTGACTCCTCAAGAGAAATCATTTGTAACTATAGGTAATTAAAATCCTTACCAGAATATATCCAGTCTTCATATTATTTTCTTTCTATCACTGTACTATTCATGAATAAAAATCTCAACCTACCGACACAAATTTTCGCAAATCTCTAAGTTTATTTCCCTAATACTTTCAACATCATAAACTAATTTGCAAATAACCCCTCTTCATCAATAACAATACCCAATAAAGATTTTAAAGCTTTTCATGACATTGCGCCGCTCCGTTTTCTTTCTTGTTTTCCTTGTGTTGATCCTCGTGTCAATATTATTTCAGTTAGTTTTATCGTATCATTCAAGGAACAATTGAATATTTGTTTCTAGATTTCTAGAAGAATCGTAAACGGCGAATCAGAGCGTTTTACTGGTCCAATAACAATACTAGATTCTGTGTGATTGTGATTTTTCACCAGATACAATTTCTGTGATTACTCATAATTATGACGCATCAGATTTCAATTTGAATGTTTTTTTTTTTTCACTTTATTTTGTGCTAATTATATTTTCGATTCAGAAACTTGTATTTTTAAAAACATTTATTTTATTAATTAAAATACAATGGCGACAAAAGAAAATATGTGAATCAAATTGCTACGACGTAAAAGTCGAAAACAAATGAACCTGATTCTAATTACTTTAGTCTGGCTACAAAAGAATAGAATGAGCTCCAGGAAGCTCTGTACGCTGTATTTATAAGAAATAGCTGCTGGTGCCAGCATTTGCGTTGGCGGAATGGTGGTACTTGCAGTGCAGTACCGCTGATTAAGCAGTTTTACATTATTAGAAGTTTTGACAGAGGCGTACGCTTATAATTATCATTGGAAAGGAGAATTATTAATATAATGATAACATAGGGTCTTACAATATAACTTGCTGATGATATCTGACGCTGACTAATTGTTAATTGGCCTTCTATAAAAATAAATTTTGGGCTTTTACGGCAGGCATTTTTATTGTAGTTCATGTTTTCCGAGTCTGTGGTCTTCCGATGTTTCGGTAGTCATCATCAGTAAGAACACTTCTTCTGCTTCACTACTACTACTACTACTACCTACTACTTCATATCTGACTTATTGCCTCGAATCGACGATTGGCGCCGGAGAGTGACAGCTCTGTATCCAATTTTCTGATTGATTTTTGCGAAATTAAAAGAAACCAGAAAGTTTTAGAATATAAATCAATCAAGTATACCTTGGGGGTAAGTCCCCAACACAAAATTTAAAAGCAGACTATTTGAAAAACAGTAAAGTTGGTGGAGTTGAGAAAACCTCTAGAAAAGGGAAAAACAGAATGGGAATTGAATTTACCGATTATATAAGTGCAAATGAATTTCGAAATAATAAAATATTAACGGATGAAAATCTAAACGCCTATATTCCAGCAAGTCTAGTTACCTACCTGTAAAGGTATAGCCAGAGGGATCTACAGAAGTATAACTGAACAGGAAATAGTTGAGAATACAAAATCTGTAGGAAAGGTTGTTGAAGCCAGAAGACTAAAGAAGATAATAATTGAAAACGGTGAAATCAAATTTGTAAATACTGAATCAGTGGTGTTTACGTTCCAAGGGAAAGTGATTCCAAGGGCAGTTAACCTAGATTTCTGGGATGTATTAATTTCAGTATACATAAGTCCAGTATTGATGTGCTTTAAGTGCTTAAGGTACGGTCACACGGCTAAACAGTGCCAAGGTAAACAAAGATGCCCAATATGTGCAGAGGAGCATGAAGAAAGAGAGTGTACATAGAACACACCAAACTGTTTATATTGTAACATTGAGCACAAAGCTACAGACAGACAATGTAAGGAATACCTGAGACAGAAAGCAATCAAAACCACTATAATCACAGAAAATATATCCTATTTTGAAGCTAGGAACAAACATCGGAAAGGAGATGAAATTATAGGACAGCGACTTGGACAAAAAATAAGTAGTTTAGACCATAGAGATTTTCCAGCCCTAAATCATGCAAGAAGAGCTTCGGAAGCCAATACACCTATTGAAGTAAACCAGAGATATCTATAAATATCGAGACCCAACACACCAAGGAGCCCTTCATTCATATGATTCGGCTGCATGAAATCTCAAAAGGAAAATGCCCAGTTCACCATCAGGGTACGAAAGAGAAGCGCACAAAAAAATGTCTGATTCTTGCATCAGCTAGAACTCCAACCCAAATAAGTACAAGGGAAGATTCGGTGGCAGAAAGTGCATATTCCATACAGCCAACACCAATATAAGATGTAATACAAGAAGTCATTGGAAAGACAAGCTTGTTTCAGGAGGTGAAGGAGATTATTATGGAGGAAATCCACAATGCAACCCAGATATTTGGGGGATCCGATCAGGACGCAGACAGCCAATACCTACAGGAAGATGTACACGCTATTAGAGATTTACAGATTGAAGAAACGCAATATGCAAATAGTACAATGGAACATTAGAAGCATTCTAAGAAATTATAGTGACCTTATTGTTTTGATAAATAGCGAAGACCTAGATGTAATACCTATCAATGAAACATGGGTCAAGGCAGATTATGTCTTGAAAGTCAAATATTATGTTACGCATAGATTGGATAGAGATGATGGAAGAGGAGGCATTGCTATACTGATCAAGAAATGCCGCATATTAAATGTAATATGAACAATAATTTCAATCAAAGGTTTCAAGCAATGAGAATTAAAATCAAAGACATGACTATTGTCACAATTTATAGCCCACCAGACGTCTCACTTTCTATAAACAACATCTATAACGATTTTGGAGGGATACAAGCTCCATTTATTATTATGGGAGACATAAATGTGCAACACAGCCTATGGGGTTCGCAGATTAACAACTACAATGGTAGACACTTAATGCAATACATTGAGGATAAGAATCTAATAATATTAAATGACGGCAAGAGCACAAGAATAACACCACCGAACCAAAACAGAAGTTGCCCAGACATAACAATGGTAACCCAGGATCTTGGAACATTCTGCAACTCGTCGGTTTCCAGCCAGAGCGGACTTAGTGATAATTTGCCTACCATATGTGAAATTAGAAAACAGCTGCTATTAAGCATTCATAGACAAAATAGATAACTCTGCTGGGGAAGCTATCCCAAGAGTTTTAGGATCAAGTAAAAATAAATATACTCCAAAGCCAAACTGGTGGGATGAAGACTGCAACAAATTAACAGAGGAAAGACAAGAGGCTATGGAAAATTACCTAAGGAACATGACTTTGGACAATTTTTGTGTATAAGCAAGCCTAATCATGGTTTAAAGTTAACCTGAGTTTTATTGTTTTTAAACCCTAAAATTTATTATGTTATATTGTGATACCAATAAAGGCTGAAAAAGTTCATTAACGCGCGCCACTCATCAACATATAAGTTTAACATTTTCCAAACTTGGGAATTTGAAGAACAGTATCTAGGGTTAACTTTAACTCATGGTTAACTTTGTTTATACAACCGGATATGAGACCATTAGCTTCATTATCTCTGGATTATAGGTTATGCCATTTGACATGCATCCAAGTCACTATGGAAGGAATTTCATATAACTCGTGCAAATAAAACTGCTAGACTTGAGGAATTTTATTAAGCCTGTAACTCTACCATAAAAAACTTCACATTCCTGCGACATTTTATACATTTTGGTGCATGATTAGAGATAGTAACACTTTTTTTTTTAGAACAATTTATATTTTGAGGGTCAGCATCATATTATTTCATTTGTGTACCGTGGCGAATAATAGTATATTGTTGTATTAGGAGTAGAAGCTTCACTTTTTTGTGCTGAAGCAGTAGGTTTGCGAGCCGAACGTAGTGAGGCTTGCAATACTGCAATACTGCACAAAAAAGTGCTTCTACCCCGTATGCAACACGCTATTTTTTCTCCAAACTAATGGGGTAAGCTCGGGGGCAAGTGGATGGTTGAGCGGCAGTAAAAGTACAAGCGGCACTAAAAGTACTTTTGCTGCCGCTGGGGTCAGGTGTTAACCCGCTGGATTTGCCTGGCAGCATAGAAATCAAATTTCTGACATCTTGACAGGGGTTAACAAAGTGACGTTTTTTTGACGTTTGGAGAAAAAAAAATTTGCCGCCCCATGCTTGGTAATAATAATAACAATAATACCCTTTACCTTTTAAATATTATGGTTAAAATTGAACATAAGATATAACAGCAATAATATACCTACTTATATAGTTAATTCGTGAACAATGACAATTTGGTAGAGCTACACAGTACACAGTGTAGCTACCAACTTGCTACACAAATGAAAATACTTACAACATGTAATCATACAACACGCTACTGAAGTGAAACTTTTCCAAACACACAAATATACCAGGAAATGGGACAAGGAATTGGTTGAATGGTATAATTGCATTGAAGCACGCTCATGCCTCATGGCTCAGGCGATCCCCACTACTAGCTCGACTTCGTGGCAGTAGAGGGGATGCCTAGCGTTGCATGTTTTCGTTACATATCAACTAGCATGAAACGAACTTACCCTATCGGGCGTAAAGAAGTTTCACTGTGAAAGCTTAACTTAAAAGTAATAGAATATTATTCATTAAAAATGGTTTACACTCGGATTTACAAGAATAAAAGAAATATTGGCTATACCAGGACACACTATATAGGGATTTTCTGAGCTACCGGGGATACAGTTTGGTTTGAATTACCGCCCCGTAAATTTTGGCACCCCAGGCTCGGGTTTTGTTAGCCCAAGCGTTAATCCGGTACTGTTTGTATAGAGATTGTAATCGTTTCCTTTGGGCTCGTAGATGCAGACGATCAAATAGTAGGCACGCTAGATACAACTGAAAAAAAAACATACATTTTACGATCAATAAAAATAAACTGTAGTAGAATAGGTACTTACTTGGCAATAGCACTGTTTTGGTTACATGTAGTTCCATAAGGACAGAACTGCGTGAGTCCGACAGCAACCATCATTCCCATGAGGGTGTAGCAATTCGTGTAGCTCCAGCTGGTATAGCAACATATGTTTCTGCTACCACACAGTTTGGATGCTGCAGTGGTGGAACCAGTTGTAGTAGATTGAGATGTTGTGCTTGTAGCTGAAGTCGTAATACTAATATGAGCTGTAGTCAATGATGATTTTGCTGTAGAACTTGTAGTAGTGGATAGGGACGCTACAGAAACAGACGTGGAACTTTTATCAGCAGTCGCAGAAGAATTTGATATTTTAGTGGTAGTATATCCTGCAGTAGAGCTCGTGATAGGTTCCTTTGTGGATGTAGGAGACGCTGTTTGAGTAGTGCTTGGTGGACCGGTTGTAGTTGGATGAGAAGTTTCGGAAACAGTTGTTGGACTCTTATCTGTGGTTACAGAAGAGGATGATATTGTAGTCGTATATTCTGCAGTAGAACTCTTGGTAGGCTCCTCTGTAGGTGCAGGTGTAGCTTTTTCAGTACTGCTTGGAAGACTGGTAGTAGTTGGAGAAGTTTCGGAAACAGTTAATGGACACTTATCTGTGGTCACAGAAGAAGATGCAACTGTCGTATATCCTGCAGTAAAGCTTGTGGTAGATTCTTTTGTGGGTGTAGGTGTAGTTTCTTGAGTAGTGCTTGGTAGACTGGTAGTAGTCGGAGGAGAAGTTTCAGAAACAGTTGCTGGACTCTTATCTGTGGTCGCAGAAGTGGATGATACTGTAGTCGTACATTCGGCAGTAGAGCTTGTGGTAGGCTCCTTTGTAGAAGTAGGTATAGCTTTTTCAGTACTGCTTGGTGGAATGGTAGTAGTTAGAGTAGAAGTTTCGGAGACAGTTGTTGGACTCTTATCTGTGATCGCAGAAGATGAGGATGATACTGTAGTCGTGTATTCGACAGTAGAGCTTGTGCTAAGTTCCTTTGTAGGTGTAGGTGTAGCTTTTTTAGTAGTGCTTGGAGGACTGGTAGTACTTGGAGGAGAAGTTTCGGAAACGCTTGTTGGACTCTTATCTGGGGTCGCAGAAGAAGATGATACTGTAGTCGTAAATCCTGCAGTAGAGCTCGTGGTAGGTTCGTGTGTAGGTGTAGCTTCTTCAGTAGTGCTTGGTAGACCGCTAGTAGTTGGAGGAGAAGTTTTGGAAACAGCCGTTGGACTCTTATCTGTGGTCGCAGAAGAGGATGATATTGTAGACGTGTATTTGATAGTAGAGCTTGTGGTAGGTTCCTTTGTAGGTGTAGGTGTAGCTTCTTGAGTAGTGCTTGGTGGAATGGTGGTAGTTGGATGAGAAGTTTCGGAAACAGTTGTTGGACTCCTATCTGTGGTCACTGTAACTGTAGTCGTATATCCTGCAGTAGAACTCGTCGTATATTCTTTTGTAGGTGTAGGTGTAGCTTCTTGAGTAGTGCTTGGTGGACTGGTAGTAGTTGGAGGAGAAGTTTCTGAAACAGTTGTTGGACTCTGTTCTGTGGTCGCAGAAGAGGATGATACTGTAGTCGTGTATTTAATAGTAGAGCTTGTGGTAGGTTCCTTTGTAGGTGTAGGTGTAACTTCTTCTGTAGTGCTTGGACGACTGGTAGTAGTTGGAGGAGAAGTTTCAGAATCGGTTGTTGGACTCTTATCTGTGATCGCAGAAGAGGCTGTAGTCCTATATCCGGCAGTAGAGCTTGTGGTAGGTTCCTTTGTAGGTGTAGCTGCTTTAGTAGTGCTTAGTGGACTGGTGGTAGTTAGAGGAGAAGTTTCGAAAACAGTTGTTGGACTCTTATCTGTGGTCGCAGAAGAGGATGATGCTGTAGTCGTGCATTTGACAGTAGAGCTTGTGGTAGGTTCCTTTGTAGATCTAGGTGTAGCTTCTTGAGTAGTGCTTGGTAGACTGGTAGTAGTCGGAGAAGAAGTTTCGAAAACAGTTGTTGGACTCTCATCTGTGGTCATAGAAGAGGATGATACTGTAGTCGTAAATCCTGCAGTAGAGCTCGTCGTATATTTTTTTGTAGGTGTAAGTGTAGCTTCTTGAGCAGTGCTTGGTGGACTGGTAGTAGTTAAAGGAGAAGTTTCGGAAACAGTAGTTGTTGGACTCTTTTCTGTGGTTACAGTAGAGCTCGTGGTAGATGCCTTTGTAGGTGTAAGTGTAGCTTTTTGAGTACTGCTTGGCGGACTGGTAGTAGCTGGAGAAGAAGTTCCGGAAACAATGTTTGGACTTACAGCAGTAGAACTCTTATCTGTACTACCAGAAGAGGATGATACTGTAGTCGTAATATATCCTGCTGTAGAGCACGCGGTGGTTTCTTTTTTAGATGTAGCTGGTTGAGTACTACTTTGAGAAATGCTAGTAGTTGAAAGAGAACTTTCAGAAGCAGTTGTTGGATTCACAGTAGAAAAATTCTTAGGAGAAGTTGACACTGTTGTGATAGGATGTGTTGCTGTAGAACTTGTACTGACTTCCTTTGTTATTGTAGGTATAATTGTTGGAGGACTGCTAGATGTTGTACGGGAAGTTTCAGAAAGAGCTGTTGGCTTTATAGTAGTAAAAATTTTATCTGTAGTAAAAGCTGTTGATGTAGATCCTGCAATAGTTTTCTTTGCGGTCGTAGATGTAGACGATGAAGTAACACTTTCCACACAACTGATAGGAAACACAAACATTAGTTCACGAAAACTTGCTGTATCGAAAACTTACTTAGTAGTAAAACTGTCATGACTACATGTAGTCCCATTTGGACACCGTTGGATGGTTCCATAGGTTTTATAGATTCCATAGAAAATGTAGTAGCAATAGATGTAGGTTGTGCTGTTTATACAATGGATGTTTCGGCTACTGCAAATGTCAGGTGACACACACCTACGAAAACAAAACCTATAGTATCACCGTAGAAGCATTATTTGCTCCAATAGGTACTTACCCAAGATCCTGGTTGCAAACTGAACCAACCGGGCAATTATGGTTCACCGTCTCGTAGTAGGCACAAAAAAATATTCTCGTACATTTGACGTATGAGGTTTTGTTAACACAAGAAATTTTTGCTTTACCGCAAGTCCTCGCTTCGGTTTCTCCATTGAGGAAGATCAGGATCAAGAGGCACATCTGATGAAATAAACATTACTGACGTCACAAATACCCTTTTCAAATGGTTCGTAATCAAATGTGTGGTTTTGTCAACGTTGTTAAATTATGATTTCGTGAGAATTTTATAATGATATGATATATAGATATTGCAGCAATTTATAACGAAAAACATTCAAATTACGGGTACCTTTATTTGTATTCAAGATATTGATACTCACCAAAAAATATCCAATATTTGAACCATTATCATCCATTTTCATTCAGGAGCCTCACTTTTTAGTGAAGCAACACAATTACAGAAAAACCTCAAGGATTTAATAGGGCTATTTCGTGTACTGATGCCGCTAAACCTTTAATTTATACAAAACATTTCCTTTAATGGAGACCGTGATGTGAATCTGGGATCTATTGGCGATACACTAACTTTGTTTTTCCAAACAATTTCGGAGTTATTATACTTAAATCAAATATTTTGAGAAAATTAAACAATGCAATATTATTATTATTAAAATCCTTCATTAAATAGACGGCAACAGTAAAAAGAGGCAATAACATAGTCAGGATTTAACGAATTTTTGTCTTTATCTAAATTTTCCGTGTTGTCGAACTCAATAATTATTGTTTAGGAATTTTCTCATTTGAACAGGGGTCCATCTTGGAAATTACCATTTGCCAAACAAGACCATTGAAAGAAAATGATATAGGTACAAAAAAATCCTTTGGCGCTCTCCTTGAAATTTTCACAGGACGATAATAGTACGGGATACGAGGCCTATTTCATCAAATCATTTTACACCGTCTTGCATTGTTATCATCAGTTAGATAACATGGTACTGAAACGCACTTGTGCAGGAAAATAGATGGGAGTGGGGGATTTCGCTGATTGGATTAACACATGCAAGACGTTTTCATGGGGGTTTTGGGGTTGTAATACAAGATGGACATTATCAATTTGTGAGAAGGGTGTAATAGTATATTACATATCGAGTAGGGAAGTGTTTCATTACTGTCGAGAGAATTATATAGTCAATCGAGACGCGGAGCGTCGAGATTGACTATTAATCTCGAGACAGAAATGAAAACTTTCCTCCGAGGTTTGTATACTATTTCATTTGCAAGCACACCATTATTGTGATTAATTATTTAATTTTTTTAATATTAAAAAAATAAAACAAACATGCCAAAATGTGTCATTCACTGTTTTGACATTTTTACCCTACATGTTCTCATTGTTGCCAGCAAAGGTAAATAAATTTGAGTGAGGGAAATCGGTGAGGGAAGTCGAATAGGGAAATCGGTGAGGGAAATCGACGAGGGAAGTGACACAGGTAAAGTGTCACTTCCAAATTTTTAAAAAGTCAGTAATGTCAAGATTACACATTATATGGTTGCAAATAAAATCATTTTACACCACTTCATTGTTAATTTAGATTAAAGCTTGAATGTAGAATAGCCACTGGATACTGATACAAGACGTCCTGTAGAGGGATAACGGGCTGCAAGATGGATGTCAATGCGTTGTCTCATGAGGGAGTGAAAAATTATTTTACACCACTTCATGCTTATGTCCGCCGAAAGAATCTATGTTAAGAAATGGTATTACATCAGTCTAAGACGTTTTTTCGGGGAAAAAAGTTAAAAAATCCATTTTTTTTTTTGACTGAACTGTTGAGTTATTTACTGAACCGTTCAATGTTTATTCTTTTTTAAATCATACAGATGAAAAAGGACAGTTGACATAGCAGCTCAACAGGGGAGTCTATTGAATACAGGCATTATAATTTCTGTTTACAATTTCAGACAGATCATTTATTGTGTCATTTTTTTGCTGCTCTAAAATCAAATTCTTCATATTTAATGCTTACAATCTGTTATGTGTTATGGGATATCCATCTCAGAGAGAACTTAAATGATTAAAAGCCGTCAGAAAAAGAACAATTTTCAATCTTTTTTTATTTGATGTCCGTAGAGACATTCAAATATTCATATTATTAAGAGAATTTTGCAAAATAGAATCATTCTACTTGGTAAAGAGCAAAAATATTTAAAATGAATGTGCGTAATTTGTAATTTGGAGTAGTATTCACTGTTGTACCTGAAGGATTGACCCCCGTCAAAATTAGTAAACTTCATCATCGTCTTGCAGTCCTTTCTTCCCATTTAGAACGTCTTGTATTTTTAAAAATGTTATCCCATTTTTCCCATAAGTACCAGTGCAAGACGGTGTAAAATGATTTCTCCTTCCCTCATAAGACAACACATTGACCTCCGTCTTGCAGCCCGTTATCCCTCTACAGGACGTCTTGTATCAGTATCCAGTGGCTATTCTACATTCAAGCTTTAATCTAAATCAAAAATTGAGTGGTGTAAAATGATATTTCACCCCTCTGAAAAATTGACAATTTCTATCTAATATTACAACTCGAAAACCCCCATGAAAATGTCTTGCATAGGGTATTCCAATTTTGTTTGTGTACAAATTAACTTAATAAGTAAATGCAAGACGGTGTAAAATTATACATTTTCCTCGATTATGACGACATTTTCTCAAACACTTTTATCAGCGAAATACCCCACTTCCATATATTTTACTGCGTAAGTGCGGTTCAGCATCATGTTATCTAACTGATGATAACAATGCAAGACGGTGTAAAATGATTTGATGAAATAGGCCTCATATCCCGTACTATAAGTATATCTGCAAAAAAAAAAATCAGGTATAAAATCAGTCTAAAAATCACCCATATGATAACTGACTGACTTCAAAAAAAAGTCTTGAAGATCAAAGGAAAAGCCAGAAGAGGAATTCCGAAGGTAGAAAGGAAAACTAGAAGAAGAAGATCGAAGACAAGAAGATGAAGAAAAAGTCCAGAGACGACCCAGAAAACCTAAAATTTTAAGCGAGAATGAATCTTTGCGGTACAAACCAGACTCAAGAAAGTTCTGGAAAGGCAACCAAGATAATAAATTCAAGAATGCAATGGAAGAAGTAGGTACCTATGTGAAAAAATTGGGAGTGTCCGATAGGAAGTTGAAGGCTTTCGCGACGAAATAAATAGCGGTCAGAAGAAAACTAAAAAGTATGTGCAAACCTTTTTAGGCTTAAGCTTAAGATCAGGAAATGTCTCAAAATAGAGACTCAATTGAAGAAATTATAGCAGGAACACAAAAGGTTGTTGCCAAATGCCAGAATCAAACAAGGAAACTGAGACTGGTGAAACTGTTCCTGTAAGAAGCATTTGCTTCGAAACGGATCAGCTTAAAATAAGTTATCCAGTGAGAGTTAATTTTGACAGGCATGGAGGTTTCAAGTACCTATATGAAATGTGGATAGATGAGATGATTATGATAACAACAATAGGGTTCTTAGGACCCTGAGAGACATCATCTGCATAAGCGTGTGACAATTTCATTTGCAGAAAATCGCCCAATTGCAAAAAGATTAGCTGACATTATTGAATGATGTGCACTTTCTGTAGTCCTAAAGGGACTTGAATGACATGGCGTTCCAGTAGGATGGCGCATCTAAAGAATTCAGGTATTACGACAGCGATGAGTCAAGTCACAAACCACACTCAAGCATCAGCTTCGTAGCTTCGTGGTACTCTTTTACTCTTGACGCGGACTCTACATTGAACCAATGGTGCTTTACTATACTCGAACTACGTACTTCTTTACCCTTTGAGGGACAAGTAACCAAGTGTTATTAAAATAAAAATAAACGTTATTGCCAAGGTAATTTTATTTTAAACTCGAATAAACATGCTACAATAACCCAACACCTGAATGGCTCACCTATTTATAGTTCTCTAAACTAACTTTTAATTTTTGTATCAAAAGCTCCATCCATAAAAACTTTCTTTATACATACTTCTTCCATAAAGACCAAACTAAACCTTAAAATATAACTATTCAATTATAAATTGTATGTGATTTTCTTTGTAGTCTAAGATGTAGTTGCTTGTTCATCACGACTTGTAGCTGGGAGAAGTTGATGGACTCAGGGAGTAGACACTTCACAACTAAAAAAAAAAAATATTAACAAAAATTACAAACTGAAGAAATGAACTTACTAAGTAAATATATTATCTTGGGTACATGTAGTCCCATCAGGACAAGTATGATTGAATCCAACAGTATAGGATTTTCCCATGACGGTGTAACAATAAACGAAAGTATTTTCGTCGTAGCAACGGATACTATTGACACCGCACTTCCAAGTAGTAGTATCAGCGGCAATATATTCTATAGTAGTTGGAGTAGAAATTTCGGTTGTCGTTTTACTCGATGAAGTTGTAGTATCTTTCTTCGTGGTTGTAGATGCGGCTGTCTGAGTACTGCTTGGAGGACTGGTTGGAGGAGAAGTTTCGGAATTAGTTGTTGGATCTTCATCAATTGAAATGTCATCTGTGATATCGGTAATAGATGATTCTGTAGTAGAGCTCGTGGTAGGTTCCTTTTTAGGTAGAGGTGTAGCTTTTTGAGTACTGGTTGGAGGACTCGTAGTAGTTGGAGGAGAAGTTTCGCAAACAGTTGTTGGACTTACAGTAGTTGAGCTCTTATCTGTGGTCGCAGAAGAGGATGATACTGTAGTCGTAGATGCGGCAGTAGAGGTTGTGGTAGGTTCCTTTGTAGGTGTAGGTGTAGTTTTTTGAGTAGTGCTTGGTGGACTGGTAGTAGTTGGAGGAGAAGTTTCGGAAACAGTTGTTGGACTCTTTGTATATCTTGTAGTGGAGCTCGTGGTAGGTTCCTTTGTAGGTGTAGCTTTTTGAGTAGTGCTTGGTGGACTGGTAGTAGTTGGAGAAGAAGTTTCGGAAACAGTAGTTGTTGGACTCTTTTCTGTAGTTACAGTAGAGCTCGTGGTAGATGCCTTTGTAGGTGTAGGTGTAGCTTTTTGAGTAGTGCTTGGTGGACTGGTAGTAGTTGGAGGAGAAGTTTCGGAAACAGTAGTTGTTGGACTCTTTTCTGTGGTTACAGTAGAGCTCGTGGTAGATGCCTTTGTAGGTGTAGGTGTAGCTTCTTGAGTAGTGCTTGGTGGACTGGTAGTAGTTGGAGGAGAAGTTTCGGAAACAGTTGTTGGACTCTTTGTATATCTTGCAGTGGAGCTCGTGGTAGGTTCCTTTGTAGGTGTAGCTTTTTGAGTAGTGCTTGGTGGACTGGTAGTAGTAGGAGGAGAAGTTTCGGAAACAGTAGTTGTTGGACTCTTTTCTGTGGTTACAGTAGAGCTCGTGGTAGATGCCTTTGTAGGTGTAGGTGTAGCTTTTTGAGTAGTGCTTGGCGGACTGGTAGTAGCTGGAGGAGAAGTTTCGGAAACAATTTTTTGACTTACAGCAGTAGAACTCTTATCTGTACTACCAGAAGAGGATGATACTGTAGTCGTAGTAAGACTTTTAGTAGCTTCCTTTGAGGTTGTAGTAGTTATATTCACACATCTAAAGAAAAATATATTCAATTTACAATACACAACATTACTCCTGATATTCCAGAACATGTTGCAAATCACTTACTCAGCAAAATCACCGTCTTGATGGGCACAACATCTAGTCCCTTCAGGACATAAGTGAATGAATCCGTGATTAATGTATATTCCCAAGAAGCAGGAGCAATGCATGTAGGAAAAGTCCGAGAGGCAGCATTTACCTATAATTGGGGGACTGGTTGTAGCAGCTTTAGTAGTGGTTGTAGGGGCTTCAGTAGTGGTTGTAGCTAAAAAAATAGAAGATGTTCGATTCCTTTACATGAAGTTTAGTGGTTTGACTCACTTGTTGTCGTTGTTGTTGTAGTTGTTGTTTTTGGAGTTGTCGTACAATTATGAACGCATCTACAAAAAAAGAACGCATTGTAGCATTTTACAGTAAGAAAATCTACAACGGCGTTAGTTACTTACCCAGCGTTGTGGTCACAAATTGTATCATCCGGGCAATTATATTTGATGGTTCCGTAGGTGATGGAAAAAAATCCTTTGGAGCAAAAGACGTAGGTGGTATCGCTGAGACAAGAAACGCCTGCTAAACCGCAATCTGCATCCGCTCCGCCATTGAGGGAGATCAGGATGAAAAAGGGCAGCTGAAAAGAATCAGTGTTGAAGTTATAAATAGGATTTTTCTAAAATAATTTAATGTAAAACTTATTTCTTTTCACTGCCTACAAAGGTACTAGTAAATAGGTAGGTACCCTGTAGGATTGGGGGCCATGATTTTTTTTTCAATGTAATGAAAGTATCTATCAGATGTTATTAAACAGTGAGTCCTCAGAAAATTAAATAACAATTTTGCCCGACGAATTTTTGGAAAATTTACTTTCATGGCAATGTTGCTGAAAGCTGTATATTTATACAATTGGACGAGAAATTTGTCAGAAATTATATGAAATAAATGAAGTTCTTGAACTTCCTTATGCAAAGAAATCTAGTTTCAATTAAAAAAATAATAATAATAATACTTACCAAACAATATCTAGTCTTCAATCTATTGTCCATGATCGGTCAGCAAAATTACAGAAAAATCCTTACAAGCGAGTCTTAATAAGGCTAGTTGGTGTACTAGTGCCGCAAAACTTTTATTTAAACGGAACTCAGCGAATCCAAAAAAACTATTCAACGAATCTTAATTTTTGGATTCAGATTCAAATCTGCCCCGGAGGTTGTGGAGTGATTCTAGGACCTATTGTGCTTTTGAGGAAGCACCAATGTTTTTTTATATGAAAATTTGAAGGTACCTAATCAAGTCAAATCAAATATTTTGGAAAGATTGAACAATGCATATTATTATTAATATTAAATTTTTGAGCAAACATGCAGCTACAGTAAAAAAGTGTCAATATAATAGCTGGGATTTAAAGTATTATAGTACTTATTTATACAAAATACAAAATTCCAAGAGTTTTAGGATAATATATAAAATGCATTCGCTGTCATTGACTGATGTTATTTTGATTTGCTTTTTGAGAGATTAAGATCCCAGCTCACAAAACATTAAGATTTCCAGAGGAGCTTTATGCGAAATTCAATGACGCAGTAGGTTTAACCCTACAATTTCCAGTCGCAAACTTTCTCAGAATAAACTAGCATAACTGATTTAGTGCCTATGAGCTGTGAAAAATTAGAGACTGAAATGGACAAACATTGAGGAATTAAGAAAGAAAATTTGAGAGGAAACTGGCGGAAAAATATGTATTTCTCCAACTACATCTCTTGAATTTTCTCATTTAGTATACAAATTTGGAAAGAAACAGAAATTTAGGGGCCTGGAAAAGACCAATATCAAGTGGGAATAACTGAAAAATAAGTAAAAAAGGAAAATTTATTAAAAATTGAACAGCTTAACATAAGTGAATGGTCAATGGATTAATGGATATTATTAGGATAAATTAATATACTTAGGTGAAGATATTTTTTTTTTATAATTCTCTTTATTGAAGGAAATTTAGACGATAATAAAAATTCAAGAGCCTGGAATAGACAAACATTGAGGAGGCAAAATTGAGGAGAACAGAAAAGAATTTTGAAAAAATTGCAGGTAGGCCTACCCCAGCCAGCACACAAAGTCTTAAAGACGTTTAGGTCTGCATTGCGTCTGAACGTCTGAAGACCAAAAGAAGACAAGAAGTACAACCGGTCCTAAAAGTGAATAATGTTTTATGTATTAAAAAAAAAATCAAAGACGTTGAATACGTCTTTAGAATGTCTTGGAAAAATAGAAAAATCTTAGGGACGTTTTTAAGGTGTTTACGAAAACTTCTCACATAATTCGTTTCTCATTCAATTTAGAAGTTACTGGAAATTATTTAAAATGCTACCGAACACTTTAATACTTTAAATAGCCTTTCGGAAAGTTCAAAATACTTAAAATTCAATTCAGAATTTCCAAAAGTATTCTGTAGCGCTTCAGAACAATTTGGAAACTTCAGAAACATTTTAGAATGCTCCAAAACCTTCAAAACCCGATTTAAAATTTCCAAACAAGAACAATTCAGAAGCTTGAAACCCATTTTGGAACGCTCCAAAACACTCAAACACTCTAGAATCTCCAGAAACATTTTGAAAGGCGCCAGAATTTTAGGATTCAGGTTAAAAGTTAGAAAACGCGTTCTAGAAACGTTCAAGAGCGAATTTAAATTGCTGTAGAACTTTAAACCTTTAATAAGATCCAAAACAGTTCAAATCCAAATTAGATTTTTCAGGAGCATTTTGGAACAAATTTAGAACCTTCAGAACAATTAGGATTCAATTTAGGAATGGAAACCTTTTAGAACTCTTTTGAACCAGTTTAAAACACGTTGGAGCTTCAATATAGGGCTCTAAAATAGTTGAAAATCTTTCAGAAAAATTTGGAAAGTACTGAAAAACTTCTAAAATGTTCCAGAACTCTTCAAGCTAAGTTAGAACACTTTAGAGTTCCAATAGGCCATAACTTTCTTTTGGCTCTTGAATTATTTCATTCCAAATTCTTGAATTCTCATTTTTCCCGTATTTTAGAATAGTAGGGGAGATACATATTTTTTTCTCGTCCAAATTTTGGAAAAATGGGAGGAAAACAAAGATACAGGGAGAGGAATTTAATAAAAATAAGGAAAAATTTGCTAATTTCATTAACTCGTATATCCTAATCTAGTCTTCTACATTACATGTACCTAACTACTATAAGTTATTCAAATAAATAGAAATTAAATTTTTATTTTGCCATCCAGTATATACTATCCACTATTCTTGTTTTTGAAATCCAAAAAAAGGAAAATGTCCAAATAGCTTGTCGGAATTTTGTTTGATGACTCCCTGGAGCTTTTCAGGACACGAAAATTTTACAGCTCTTTCCTAAAATCAAGTAAAAAATAAATAAAATTAAACAAATACAAATATATGTATTAATAAAATTCCAAAAATTGTCTCCGGTTAATGTACAGTCTAAACTCTAAACGATAGCGTCATCGGCAACGATATTTATCGTGTCGCTTAGAATGTGGCTTGAATCTCGTTTTCCACTAATTGAATAATATTCATCAAATAAACCATATAATAAATCATTGTTTGTATTTTGTTTGTAATTATATTTGTGTGGATGGGATTTTATCAATTTCAATAATAATATTGGCTTTTTTTATAATTCCTTTGTCCATTTTCTGCACTCATTAGATACTAATTATTTTGTTTTATGTATTTCATAGAAAAAAATCCAAATCAATCATTATATGCATGGCTAAATCAAACAAAAGAAAATTATTATAGATTATCTACAACAAATATTCAATTTAAACGATAAAACTAGTAGAAGGGTATACCTACATACGTCGATTCTCAAATAAATAGTTTTTAAACATTGAACATGAAATGACCTTCTTTTTTGTTTGAGGCATTGTTGAAGAATTTTATACGAAAATTTGCATTCCTTCGTCCTTTTTCAGTGTAAAAATTGAAGGAGCAACAACCACGTTAATTATTGTGTGTCTCGTGTAGTTTTTTTGGAGGGTTTAAGGGTAAGAATTTTTCTTGAATTACCTATTTTGTAACGATTTCTTCATTTTAGTTTTAGGCAAAAATTTTAATTTACTAATTTTGGCTTAGAGTAATTTATAAAGATAATGGTCACACGTTTTTGCTTTTGCGAGACAAATATTTTTTGAGAAATTATAGGTACCTACCTACATGGCAAACGAGGGTAGCAAGCCAACAAAACTAAACTAAAAATTTTTAAAAAATATACTCTTAGGAATAATTTCTTAGACAAAAAGTTAAGCAAACCACGTTTTCAAACTAATTTGCAATTTTGCTGCAAGATATATCTACTTCGAAGTTTTGTCTATCTTTTATGCACACATTTTTGAAATCAATTAGAAAATATTTTTTTGATTTTTCATAGCAAGCAGCCCTGCCTTTTATTTTTTTTAAATTGAAGGCATCGTGCATATAAAGTTGATATTTTACTATCTATTCCGAGAAGTATAAATAATTCTTCCATTTGAAATCTTGAATTTATTATTTTGCCCTTCCAGGATTTTTCTCTTGTTGATGTAAAAGTTCTGAAAGCTGATTTTGTTTTTCGTTTTCTTCTTATCTTTCTTGTTTTTTTCTCATTATTCGAGCTTTCTCTTCTTTTTTTTTTCTATATCTTCTGTCTTCACTTTAACTCTTGTCCTCGATATTTTGCACGCACAGGAATCAGGAATATTCAAGAGCCTGGAATTAAGGAAAAGAGAATGTAGTTTAGTAGAAGAAACTGAATCAGTACCTATTTCTTTTCCTATTAGGTACGGGTTTTTGAATTTGTTTGACTCTAAAATGTCACATACTTATATGATTCCAAAATATCAGAATCATGTTTTGACAAAAACAGTTTCAATTTATGGTTTAATCCTTCATGCCAAACTTTGTCAAATGATTGCGCTACATCGAGGAAAACTGCGGAACACACTTTTTCTTCTTCCAGCAATTTTTCTATTACATTGGTTATTCTGTGTACTTTTCAAAGAACTTAGATGAAACTAAACTGTCAATAATGATATTGGCCTAAAAGATGACACATCATGAAGTGGCTTTCCGGGTTTTGGTATCATAATAAATAACTTCTGCAATTTTCCAAAGTTTAGGTACATAATTATCTAAGCGTAAAGGAGGCACTGAAAAGGTTGCATAATTTTAGTATAGCATTCCTAGGGAGTTGTTTTATTATTTCCCCAGAAATAGGGTCGTATCCGGGAACTTTTTTCGGACTGATGATAAGAAGGTCTGTTTCTGCAAAAATCACAAACCGGTCACAGCGAATTTTATTGGTTGAAAACAGTCAGAAAACTAGTTTCAACCAATGAAATTCACTCTGACTGGTTCGTGTTTTCTGCAAAAACAGACCAATTTTGTTTCATCTCTGCTAATATTTCTTTTGATGAAGTAGGCCTAATGTTGCCTTCTTCTTGATAAGGGTCATTCGAGGGAAGATTTTCATCTTGTGCGTTGTTAGGCTTAAATTGAAATGTCTTTTCTAAATTTCTTGGAAAAAGTTTTACTTTTTTGTCGTCACTTCTTGCCCATTGGTATTTGCTGATTTGGTTTTCTTATATGGATGGAATTTGGGTAACTGGTCTACTAAGGTCTTTGGTTGCTTTCCAAAGGGAATAATCAGTGTTTATGTCGTCTATGAGTTCACTAAGGTAATTGTTGATAGAGTCATTTTTGGTTTCTTGGGTTTCATGCCTTATGCGCCTCGTCATACGTTGAGAATTGTTTAGTCATGGGGATCTTGACTTTGCCGCCATTTCCTTTTTTCTACAATAAAATCTCTAATTTTTTTTGGGTAATTTTTTCCTTCAAAATTTTTTTCTGGTTTGGGACTGTTTTCCCAAGCTGCTTGTTGAATATTAACGATAAAGCCATCGACTTTCTCATCAAGTTGTGGCGTTCGCAACTTTACTGATATGTTTATTTTTCCTGACACAATTTGTTTAAAACTAGCCTAATCTATCAGTTTATTAACTAATGAAATAGGTGCTTCTTTCGTAATTTTTATATCACTAAGAGTTAGGATAATAGGTGAGCGATCTGAGTGTAAATCATAACTTTCTTCTCTCTCCAGAAAACTTAAAGATATATTTTTACTACGAAAAAATCAATTAGATTAGGAATTTTTCCAGGATCTGTTAGATAATAATATGTTGACTTACCAATAGATATGGGCTCGCATTGATATTCATTAATAGCTTGCAGTAGTTCCTTCCCCTAGGAATTGGTTAGTCTGAAACCCCAGTAGGTATTTTTTGCATTGAAGTTATCCTCGACTATAAATCGATTTCCTAACTCTTCAAGAAAATCAAAATATTGATTTTTCTTCAATAGATACCTTGGTGGTATATAGACCGCACATATGGTTAATGTATATGTTTTGGTTTTTACAGTTACTGCTGTTACCTGTATTGTTTTGTATCCCGTCTCCTCAATGTGAGATATGTTTTCTTTAATTGTGACAGCACAACGCTTCCTCCATGTGATGTATTGCTAGGAAGAATTGTGTGATACACTTTATATCCTTTAAATATAATATAAGATTGATTTGTAAAATGCGTTTCGTTTCTGATATCAGGCAAATGTTAATATTTTCTATTATCTAGGATAATTTGCCTCTCTGGGCTGATGTTGCAAGAGGCCACTGACATTTCCAAGCTAAAATTTCAAGATTACTGACCTAACTGAAACTGACCAAACATGACGATTGATAATAGCGCCGTTATCGCTATTTTCCAGATTACTCAAGTTTGTTTAATTTTTCCAAAATGAATTGCAATGTTTGTTCCATAGTAGTGCTTTTGGTTACCTACTAGAGTTGCCACTAATGGTGGCAGGAACTGTAAGTTCTTGGCGCAGAGTTTTGCGTAGCTGGATTTCTTGGTTGTTGGTTTTGACCATTTTAGTTTGCTTGTGGTGTGAGATTCGGCCTTTTTGACTTATTTTTCAATTTTTGTATTTCTTCAACAACAATGCACCCCATAGTTGGCTGGGTGTTTGTCGCCTTAGTGAACGCATTTTGGCTCAGAATCTTTTGGTTTCGAACAGTCTACAGTGAGATGTTTTCCTGTAAAGGGCGGGCCAATTTGGACACTGGTAATAGGAAACATTAATTTCTGAGGATAGCTCATTGAAAAGCTCTGCTTTTGCTGATTTCAATGATATAAAGTTCGATAGGTTTATCACGAACAGTTTTCGGAAAAAAAAATTACTTCGGTTTTTGTCATAAAAAACAATGTGTTAGAAAGAGACCGAGAAAGAGACCTTTTCATTTTCCTCACAGATATAAAGTCCTTTTTGTTGATTTCTTTAAAATAATGAGAGTGGACTGTATTATTAATATATTTACATTTATTTACACACACGACTATTTACACTATTTACAATTTGCATTTTCTCGTTTTTGTTTACGTTTTTAGACTTATAGAGTCTGTAAAAATGGTCATATAGGACCTGCCCAGAATTATCTGGTGCGCTCGGTGAGGTTCGATTCGACACTGACTGTTCCCGTTGGTTCACTCGCGTAGATGCCGGAAGCCACTTTACCAAAAACTTTGACAAGTGATTTTTGACACTGTTTGACACATACGCGCACACTTCCGGTGCATACCGGGAAAATTAAAATTTGAATTTTAAATTTACTGTTGGCATATTGTTTCCAACACTTTTCTAACACATTGCTTCTCATGACAGAAACCTAAATAATTTTTTTTTCTCTAAAACTGTTAGAGATAAACCTATGGAACTGTATATCATTAAAATCAGCAAAATCTTAGCTTTTCAATGAGCTATTAATATAAAGGGGTGACAAAAATCAAACTTTGGTCAATATCTTAAAATCGGGGCCAAATAGAAAAAAACTGAGAACGTCACTGAATTCTGCTTGAAAAAGTGCTTCTAGAAAGTTTACACGGTAATCAATTTTTTTCATAAACAAAAAAGTTATGGAGGTTTCACATTATTGCTCAAAATCGAGAATCGCCCTTTAGCGGCTAAACGGTTAAAAATATCAAAATGCGGTTTGCACCAATCAAGATTTCATGAAATTTGAGGCTCAGAGTGGGGGGGTTAATTTTTTTGTATCTCGCTCAGAAATTGACGTTTCCTATTAAAAGTGTCCAAATTGGCTCACCCTGTACATCTTACACATCGTGGTTCTTTAGCGCAATATTTTTGCGTATGTCCATAAGGTTGACATCTTTTGCATTGAGGGACTAATTTGGAAGTTTTTAGTGCTTTTATTTCCACTTGACTTCCAAGGATGTTGGAAATTTCGAAAATTTTGTTAATGTCTTCATCTTAATATTATGCCTTGCATTTTTTGGGACTCACACCTCAATTGAAATATTCACCAGAAATGGTTGTTTTGTTCTCCACTTAAGTTTGTTGCAGGCTTCAGGCCAGGGCCGTATCTAGGGGGGGGGGGGGGGGGTTTGGGGGTTCAAACCCCCCCGAAGAATATTAAAATTCAAAAAATTTAACTTAAAAACAAACAAAACTTATTAAATACTTATTTATTTTTTTTTATTTTTATTACTGGTGTAACAATTTTTTTTTGCCACTTTGCCTAACCCCCCCCAAAATTTTGGTCTAGATACGGCCCTGCTTCAGGCTTTCAGAAGCTGTGCTTTTAGGGTCTCAAACCTTTCATTTTTCAGGTCAGCTACACACGAAAAGTGTAACCTGTTTGCAATTACTCTATTTGGTCGTACCTACTTGTTTGTTTTCATATAAATGCCATTGAAGCTTTATTTCATTTATTATAAGTAGTATTTTAGTGACCAGTCTGTAGCTGTCTGCGAAAATAAAAGTTCTAAACAACAAAAATATCAAAATAAACGGGTATAAAATGGGACAAAAATGATTAGAAATAGGGAAAGAGAATTAAAAAAAATAAAATAAGGAAAAAACCGTTAGACCAGTACCTATATTGGACTCTTGAATTTTTTCAATTTAGAAGAAAACAAAAATTGAAGAGCCTGGAATAGACTAAAATTGATGTATGAGAAAAAATTAAGAAAAAAATTGTCTGACAATTGACATATTTTTTTTTCTCCAAATGTCAAAAAGCGTCACTTTGTTAACCCCTGTCAAGATGTCAGAAATTTAATTTCTATGCTGCTAGGCAAATCCAGCGGGTTAACACCTATCTAGGTGGTAGAAATTTAATTTCTATGCTGCTTGGCAACCCCAGCGGCAGCAAAAGTACTTTTAGTGCCGCTCGTACTTTTACTGCCGCTCAACCACCCACTTGCCCCCGAGCTTACCCCATTAGTTTGGAGAAAAAATAGCGTGTTGCATGCGGAGTAGAAGCACAAAAAAGTAAAGCTTCTACTCCTAATACAACAATATACTATTTCTAGTCCAGTTGAACTTTCTTGTTTTTCTTTTTTAGCCAAGGCTCTTCAATTTCTTTCATTAAAACAAAAATTCAAGAGCCTAGAATAGACAAAAATTGAGTGAAAAAAGCTAGGAAATTAAATAAAAATCAAGAAAAAATTGTACACTAAAGTTGGACGTAGGGGATATACAGTGTCATTACTTAAGTGTGCAACATATGGGATTTTTTTTTAGTAATAGCACAATCAAAATACAAACAAGATCAAAAGTTGGTGCATGTCTCATAATCATATTAGGTGCAGTTAGAATGGTTGCAAGTCAAACAGCATACAGGGTGGCTCAAAAAATATCAAAATTCTACATACTAATATTTACATAAATAAAATAAAACTTTTGCACTTTAAGGAGAGTTTTTTTAAAATGGCTATTATCATTAGTAATGTTTTAACTTGTTAAAAAAAAAATCGCGACATTTTAAAGATGTGTTGAATATCATTGCAACAAACATGAATTTTTTGATTCCATAAAAAATTAAAAATCTAAGTTAATTTTACAAATATGCTTGAATTTGAACAAAGTTATGTAAAATTGATTTGATTTTAATTAATTTTTGAAAGTATTTAGGGCGGAAATAAAAAATAAAAAAAATATAGAAATTATAGATTTTTTTCGAAAGAAAATTAAAAAAATCTTAGGAGGCTATGTTTTGGTATTTAGGCATAACTTTCAATTCCAAACAACTTTTCTCTATAACATTTTGCGGAATTTTCTAAAATAAGGGTACTTTACAGTACAGCTTTGATATTTGTTTGAGCTACCCTGTATGCTGTTCGAGTTGCAACCATTCTAAGTGCACCTAATATGATTTTCAGACATGCACCAACTTTTGGCCTTGTTTGCATTTGGGTTGTGCTATTACTAAAAAAAATTCCCATATGTTGCACACTTAAAAAATCACACTGTATATAGACACACAACAACAAAAGTTTTGCACCGCCCTGTAATGTAACTACAGAATAGTCATCGTTAAATAATAATCTTGTTACCTTCAACTATCGAATGTGTCCAGTACATTTACTTGAAAAGGTTTGGGAATCTGAAATTGTTCACCATTTTTTTATAGATATTTTTTTAATTTAGATATCGCTGAATATATAAAATGAGATGGTGCAAAACTCTTTTTGTTGTGTATATTTTGAATGAAACTCTCTTTTTCTATTAAGGTTCCTGAAATTTTTCATTTCTTTTACCCATCCGGATCATGAAAAATGGGAGAAAGAAAATTAGAAATATGGAGAGGAAATTTAATAGAAATAGTAGGTACTTCGAATTTTTGTCTATCCTTCATTCACATATTTTTGAAATCGCAATTAGATAATTATTTTTTGATATTTTAAAGTAAGCACGAAATTTTTTTTAGAACACTTTCTATTACTTTTTTTTGAAAACTGAAGGCATATTAAGTTGATATTTTACTATCTGGTACCTACATGATCTTCTGCGTAAATACTTCTTCCATTTGCATCAATCTGGAGCTTATTGTCTTGCCCTTCCTTAGTTCTTGTTTCCCTTTTGATCTTGTTGTTGTAGAGGTTCGTGTCTTCGAATTTCTTCTTCTTGTCTTTCTTTCATTATTCGGACTTTCTCTTCTTTTTCCTCTATCTTCTCAAATCTTCTGTCTTCACCTTATCTCTTGTCCTCAATATTTTGCATGCCCAGCAAGCAATATTTGATCGAAGAGTCAACCACAATGCTTACAAATGTACAATGATATCCATATTATTTGGCAATCACTGATCAATGAATCTCATGTATTCCCATTCCAAGAACTGCGACTGATTGCCAATGATTTTCAGATATTTTTGTATGATTACCAGGTGATTTCCATTTTTTCTGGGGATACCTATATCATTCCCAATTGATAACCTGATTTCTTACAATTAATTACTCAAAGTCTAATTGTTAAGCTTCGCATTAATATGACAAAAAAAAAGTGTTTTCTATTATAAAAACACGTTTCCACTGAAAAATTGGCACTTCTGTATTTGCATAACTGTTCCAAATGTTAGCATCTTTTTTTTTTCATGGTTATCCACACCCACAATCCACACCGATTTTGTTGTAGGTATAAATACCTAGTTGTTGAGTCTTAGATACCATTGCGTAATATGGATCTGTTTAGAATAATGAAAATTTCTAGGATTTCACTAGGATGTTCATCTGACATCTTCAGTTAGGGTTTCATTCGAGAAACCTATTTCTGATTCTGATTCAGATGTGCTATCGTCTCTGCTTCTCGCCCTGCCTAGTATTTATTCTACTTTCCCTTTTCAAGTTCTTATTGCCTTGGATTCCCGACTTTTTCTTTTGTGTCTTTTTCAGGGACATTCCCATAGCTCCGAATACTAGATCGACAAATGTCCCTGCTTCTCTGAAAAGAACCAAATTAAAGTTGACCCCTGAATAATCTCTTAATTGCAGCGAATCGCAATTGCTAAACCCTGATGAATGAAGACATTCTGTGTTGTCTTTTGGCAAGTCGGATTTAAAGGAGGTTCGAAGATTTATGTTCTCATTTTTATGATCTATAACATTGTCATACTTTAGGTCTGTTCTCACAGAAATCACAAACCAGTCAGAGCGTTGGTTGGAAGTAGTCAGAAAACTGGTGGTTGGCGATTTGCACCAATCAAAAACGCACTGACTGGTTTGTGATTTCTGTGAGCACACACCCAATCTTCATCTCGTTTTTCTTCTTCTTCAAGTTCTAAACTTTTCGTAGTCTCGGGTTCAGTTATTGGCTCAGTTATTGGGAAACTCGTTGGGATATCAAATTTATTTCAAATTGTTTAGCACTCAAAGTTGCCTAAAACCTAGTCTTAAAGGCAAATACACAACTGACCGGTACGCTGCTGTATCGTTTAAAATGTGTGATATGGGATTTCTGGGTTAGAATGAGATGACATTCCCAGCGATTACCACATGATTCTCAGCGATAGCCAATGGATTCCTATGTGATTTCCATGGAATCCTGGGAGATTCCTAGCGATTCCCAGATTATTATAAAAGGGACTCCCAAGTGATTTCCATGTATTCCTGATTGATTTCTATCTGATTCCCAGAAAAATGTATATAGGTATTGTTCGTCGATTTTTAATTGATACTTGCGGTATGAGGAGCGAGGGGGTGTTTCATATGGTAAAAACAGGTGTGACGTCAGGTAACCATTGGCGTTTTAATGTAGGGAGCTCCCAGCTTACATTCCGTCCGAGTATCAGATTAAAATCGACGAACAATACCTACAATGATTTCCACACGTTGGTTCGATCACCTCTCGTATTTGATCAACTTGCTCCATTTCGCCAATTTGCTGTGGTTTTACCTATGTGGTTTTCCATTTAAATACCCAGAAATGTTCTGGAATTTTTAAGTGAACCTGTTTATGAACGTTTTTTGGTGTCAAAACCTGTTTCTTTCTGTTAAACAAAACTTCATTTATTGTTTCCACTAATTGGCTCAGAGCGTTTGATTAAAAATTCACCACCAACGACATATATACCTATTGTCTGGCCAGGGGATCTCAACCTACAGAAGGAATTCGGACGAAAATGTGCGATGTTAATTATAAAAAAGCAACAATACTAGACAGTTCATTTGAAAATCCATTTTTTAATAGCAAAATATCGATAATAAGAAATCGTTAAATTTTCAACGTGGTTGTTGGATCTATCTATCTTCTTATATTCAATAACTGATTTCTTCAATTTTGTCTATTATAAAAGGTATAAACATTTCTAAAAATCTATCAGCTTTTGTCAATCCGGCAAACATGCGGCCTGAATGAACCTGATTGGTGTAGTTTTTGACAGGATAGAAATGATAGAATAAGGACATCTAAAAATTCTGATTTAGATTTGAACTGTTTTGAATTCTCCTTAGCTTTAAAGTTCTTCTACAGTAAATTAAATTCTCTCTTGAACGCCTTCTGAAAGGCGTTTTATAACTTTCAACTTGAATCTTAAGATTTTGGCGCTTTTCAAAATGTTTCTGGAGATTCTAGAGTGTTTGAGTATTTTGGATTGTCCTAAATGGGTTCTTTAAAACTTCTGAATTGTTCTCAAATGCTTTTGGAAATCGTAAATCGGTTTTTGAATGTTTTGGAGCATTCTAAAATGGTTTTGAAGTTTCCAAATTGTTCTGAAGCGCTACAGTATGCCTATTAAAGTTCTAAAGTGTTCTGTAGCATTTAAATGGTTTCCAGTAACCTCTAAATTCGATGAGAAACGAATTATGACTCATCAGACTTGGTTCTACCAGTTTAAATTTTTCAAGTAATTATCTACTTCTGGGTTTGATTCTACTTGGTCTTCATTCAAATGCAAAGGAGGCTTTCTCCTTCTTTTGTTTTGGCTCATGGAGAATGGTTGTTGTCTTGATGCCTCTTTTACATTAGTATCAGAAGTACTTATTGGAATTTTCTGATTGGAGAACCACTATGGAAAGAATATCGTCACTGTCACTCCCAGTTAAAATTACTATTCTTCACATTCTTTCAACCATTTCAAGATTAGGATAGCGAACAAACGATCTCTATTGAACATAATTATTGGTACCTACCAGGAGCGTTCACAGAACTTAAATTGATATCCAAATTATCGGTCATAAATGAAGTTTGCATCAGAAAGTTGGGAGTTATTGTCAATTTAAGGCAAGTTTCTTTTATTCAGGAACTTTCTAATCATTCTTTTAAGTGAAATTCCATAATTCTTCTCTAAAGTTCATTTTTTTTCCAGATGTTTTCCACTGTACTGCTCCTAGCAGGCACAGTGGTTTGTACCGGAGCTTTCCTGGATTCGTTCAGTCTATTCAACCTCAACAATTGCTCTTCGACAGATTTTCATTGCAGCAACAGTCGATGCATTGCCAATCACGCTCGTTGCGATGGTTCGAACGATTGTGGCGATTTCAGTGATGAAAAAGATTGCGGTACTAATTCACAAAATACTGGTTACAAGAAATATTTAACCCTATTTCATTTTAGAAATGATGCTGTGTAAAGAACCCCACTATTTCCGTTGCAAAAACCAGCGATGCATTTCGAAAGCGTTCGTATGCGACGACGAAAACGATTGCGAGGATTTTTCGGACGAAATAAACTGCGAACACTTTAAGGTTTGTTAAGTTTTGTCTTTACTATATTGTAAATTTTTTCTTTTAAATTTAGACAGACCACATTTTACTAAACTCCACATGCGCAGCTGGTGAATGGCAGTGTACTGATAAAATTTGTATACCAGAGGACTGGGTTTGCAACCAGGAAGTGGATTGCCTGGATGGGTCTGATGAAGGTGTCGGGTGCACTCTTAAGGAGAAAAACTGCGATGGTTTTAGGTAATCAGTTTTACTATTATTTTGTTGTCAGATTCATGAATATATTTATCCCAATAGATGTAACAATAAAAGATGCGTCCCAAACGAATGGAGGTGCGACGGTCACGACGATTGTTCAGACAACAGTGACGAAATGGATTGTGGTAAGTTTCTTAGCATTTTAACCCAATTATTGTGCAAAACGTTGATCAATTTTTTTTAGAACACCATTTCGATCTGAAAGATTGCACGCTTGACAAGAAAATGTTTCTTTGTCTCGATGGAAAAGCTTGCGTCGATTTCAAGAAAGTTTGCAACAATCGCAACGATTGTTTGGATAAGTCCGATGAAGGTAAAGCCCTGTCGTTCACTATATGAAGCATTGGGAACATTGGTTTAATTTTTTTTAGGCGGTCTTTGTGGCAACTCAGCGCTCACGTGCTCCAGCCATAACTGCACCCATGACTGCGTACAACTACCCACAGGCCCTAAATGCTTATGCCCGATTGGTTATCACAATATCGATGAAAAGTCTTGCCAGGATATCAACGAATGTGAAGAATACGGTAACAACTATATTTATAGTCAATCGTTAATTTTCGGTATTCTGTCAGTAGTGTCAATATGACCATAGAATATGACCGTCAGGACTGTCAGGAGGCAGATTCCTTAAAATATCTCTGCTTAAAATGCTTCCTGAATTTAATTCTTCCACTCTGCATCTTATGAGAGATTTGATGTTGTTTTTTCAATTCATTCTTATGTAGTTGTCCGCTCAAGTACTCTCAACTGATGTACTTACAATTAATACTTATTTTCACTAAGGGCCAATGTCTGAGGCGTTGAAAAAAAATTCTTCGCTTCTTCATCTTCACTGGATCACCGGATGACCGCTTACTCTTCGACTTTCGACTGTAGACTATCTTCTATAAACTGTCTTTGTTCTCTCTACTTCTACTTGATTACAGGATTGTTTAAAATGTTTAAATACTTTCTGATCCAACCATGAATTCGCGTGATTTCGATACGTTAACTTATTTTCCTTTCCTGCTATTTCTAAGAAATATTATTGAGTTGAACAGAGGCAAACATCCACAATAATCTTAAAGTAGTAGATAATTGAAACACGCACCTACTATTTTTCAGGTATATGTGATCAAAAGTGTATAAACAAAGACGGCTCCTACGAGTGCTACTGCGACCACAAATACGTGCTGCAAGACGACAAGAAAACGTGTAAAGCTGTCGGCGGAGAAGCCACAATGATCTTCACTTCAAAGACGCAAATCAGGTCTTATCTTTTGACCAGCAACTTACTTTTTCCAATAGCTAGAGACCTGAAACAAGTAGTAGGCATCAGTTCGGACGGTCACCATATTTACTGGACCGATGTGCATGCCGAACACGAAAGTATCGTACGAGCCTTGGAAGATGGATCAGACCGAGAGGTAATTTTTTTCAACTAATCTTAGAAAAATCTGACGCGTTTTTGTTCTAGATTCTTGTTACTTCCGGTCTGGGTCTACCAGAAGACCTCAAAGTCGATTGGTTGACTGGAAATATCTACTTTACCGATGCTGATAAGCAACATATTGGAGTTTGCAAGAGCGATGGATCGCATTGCGCCGTTTTGATTAACACCGACATTAGGAAACCTAGAGCTATTGTGCTTAACGTCGATGATGGGTAAGAATCTTAGTACAAGATTTTTTGGAGAATTCCTTCGGCACGAACACTGTCATCTTTTTTTGTAAGATGACCCTGCCGTCTCTTGTATAACAATGCAATCGTCATTAAAGTCTGAAATCTTTCTTCCACAGAACAATGTTCTGGTCAGATTGGGCAAAACCGTCAGAAATAGCGACAGCTCAAATGGATGGCACCAGTTCCAGGCCTTTTCTGCGCGACGACATTCACTGGCCCAATGGATTAGCCCTGGACTACCCCAACTCGAGACTCTATTGGACGGATGCTAAAAAAATGACGCTCGAAAGTATTCTATTGGATGGCACTGACCGAAGGGTAAGCAACCACAAACCAGCTCAACCAAACGTTACATATCATACTTCAGGTCATCCTGCAAGACATCGTTAAACACCCCTTTGCAATTGGCGTATTCGAAAACCGTCTGTATTGGTCCGACTGGGAAACGCACTCCATCGATTCCTGCGACAAATTCACCGGCAAAAATCATCACACTCTAATCAAAGAACACAAAGATTTTATTTACGGATTGAGCATCTACCACTCGTCGTTGCACCAGAGAATCGACAACCCATGCGCTCTTGCTTTTTGCAGCGACATCTGTCTACTTAGAGGCCAGAGCTACGCTTGCGCATGCTCAGAAGGAAGAATACTTAACAGCGACAAACACACTTGTCAAAGTAAGATGAATGTTGCTTGATTAGGGGCCGAATTTATAGTCATTCCTTGAGTCTGCCTTAAAGGTCGTGAGTTCAGAATGGACACTTGGTACTATTTGACAAGTTAGTCATGTCAATTCTAAACGTTCAAGGCTTCCTTAAGGTCCAAGGAAACCTCAAGGAGCGACTATAAATTTGGCCCCAAGGAAAAGTTTATTTAATTTGTCATTTCAGGTATCGAGAAAAAGCAAATGCTAACAGTCGCCACTAAAAACACCTTACTGAGCGTGGAACACAAAACCTTAGGAAAGCACGCTGTTACTGCACTAAAATCTGTTGTCGACGATGCTGGCGCCCTTACTTACGACAGTACGAACCACAGCATTTTTATAAGCGATTTGGCCTCAGGGAAGATTATGGAATTCAATTTGCATACGCAAGAAAGTCACGAGCTACCGTTGAAAGGACTGGGAAAGGTTATGTCGATGGATTATGGTAAGAAGTTTGTTATGTCAAGTTCCTTATCTAATAAGGCCAATATTTTGGTATAATGCTTCATTACATTAAGTCTAGTAGATTCATAAAAGAATTAATCTACCTGCAATGTGATACTATTTGTCTTTCTAGATCCCACTGGTAACAACTTGTACATCTGCGATTACTCGAAAAGCACCCTTGAAGTAATCAGCCTGACCACCATGGCTCAAAAAGTCCTTATTCATGATGCCGACAATGAAACACCCCAATTTGTATCAGTAGTCCCTCAGGAAGGGTAAACATCAAACCCTTTCACGTCAATTTACTAACATTTTATTTGCAGCGTAATGTTTGTCTCCTTCTACGACAAAATCAAAGAACAATCGCACATTGACCGGATGGCCATGGACGCGACCGGCAGGACGCACATTGTAGAACGCGGTTTAGTGGGTCCAGTGGCGTTGCATTACGACGCGCACTATCACCGATTGTTTTTCGCCGACGCTGCCACTGGCGACATCGAGCACACCAACGTGGACGGCGACGAGCGACACTTGTTTAAGAGCGCGCACACTACGATTTCCGACTTGACAACGTTGGACGCGGACTTGTTTTGGACCAATGCCTTTTCCAGGAAGTTGTATTGGGCCGATAAGAGTTCCGGATCGAATAGCCAGAAAATAACTCTAGGTAATTATGGATTTTTGTTTCGTTCAAAGAAAAATTAAATACTTGTTTTATTTTAGATATTCCCAGTCATCCTGGTACTGTGGACCGAGTCCACGTAGCATCAGTGACGCCACAAGTTCACGTCAGCAGTCCGTGTCAGCACAACAACGGCAATTGCAGCCATATTTGCCTGTCAGCTCGCAAAACGGTCGTGTGCGCATGTCCTGCTAGAATGACCCTTGCCAGCGATAATAAGCTGTGTTTACACCGAAATGAGTGCGACACTCACGAGTTTCTATGTCCGCTGTCCAATGTTTGCATCTTGGGTACGTTGAAATGTAACGGGAAAACGGATTGTCCTTTGGGCGAGGACGAGGAGGATTGTAGGAAGTCGGTGCAATGTCCTCTCGGATTTTTCGGATGTGGCGATGGACAATGTATACCGGTAAGTTCATCCATTTATTTTCATGTTATGTGAGCCGGATTTTTGGTAAGACTCTTTCCGGAAAAGACAGATCATATTTTCTTATGTGACTCCAGTCACCGAACATAAATATCAAAAAAAAAATCTGTAGACAATATCAGACCAGCATTTACAAGCATCTATGTGTGTTGTTGACTACTACATTAATTTATACTGAAAAATATTATTACTTTTTAAGGAAAAAGACGTCTGCGATCATAAATACGACTGTCAAGACAAATCAGACGAGCACCAATGCAACGGCAAACATTGCCCGCCAAATCATTTCACGTGCGGTGACGGCAGTTGCGTCGCTGATCGTTTCGTTTGCGACGGAATGGCCGATTGCACCGACAGATCAGACGAAAGCAACTGTTTGACCAGCACGTGCGACTCGTCACAATTCCGTTGCGACTCTGGCGAATGCATCCCGAGAACGTGGGAATGCGATCACGACTACGACTGCAGAGACTTGTCGGATGAACATTCGGAATGCGTCGCTGCCACCTGCGCAGCGCACATGTTCACTTGCGACAACGGAAAGTGTATCGATCAGTCACTAGTCTGCGACCAATCAAACGATTGCGGCGATCGCTCTGACGAATCGCAATGCTTCTTGCCTGTCGACACTCATCGTTGTCAAGAAGATGAATTTTCTTGTACCAATCAGAGTATTTGCTTGAGTCAGGAGGCGAAATGTAACGGCACCGCAGAATGTCCAATGGGCGAAGACGAAAGAGGATGCTCGACTTGCGGCCTAGAGTCGTTTGAGTGTGCCAACAAAAAATGCATCTCGGATTTGTGGGTTTGCGATGGTTCGGATGATTGTGGCGATCACAGCGACGAAAACGCGACTCTGTGCGAATCTAGAGTTCATAAACCGATGGGACAATCCAGGTTTAGTCATCTACCGTGCGACGATGGATTCAGGTGTAAATCAGGCGCTTGTATTCCTTTGGAGCTACTCTGCAATAATAAACACGACTGTTTCGATGAGTCTGATGAGGGTGGATTGTGTTCGAAATCTTGCGACGCCATTAACAATCCTTGTGATCAGGAGTGTATCAGGACACCGTCCGGACCTATGTGTAGATGCAAACCAGGATATAGGTAAGGATAATGATGATAAGTTTATTATGGAACCTAATGTTGTAGCTTGCATATCTGTTGGATTAGATAGGTTGAGTTAGTGAATGAAAAGCCGAAAACCCTTAGTTCAAATGCTTAAATAGTTCAATGATTTATAACAAGCTCTTGATTCGTTGGATAGTTTTTGGAAAGTTGATCTCATCTATAATTTTATCAGTCAATTAAAATCTAAACCGCAAACTACAATTTACTCGCCTAATTTAGGTTGATGGGTGATGGTCATACCTGTAAGGACATCAACGAATGCGAACAAGATCCACCGGTTTGCAGTCAACTTTGTCAGGACCGCGAAGGCGGTTTTACATGCGATTGTTATCAGGGATTCATCCTAAGGTAAGCGAGCAATTTTTTTCAGTGATACCATCTCAAATTATATTTTCTAGATCCGACAAGAAATCTTGCAAATCCATCGGCGAGCCCATGTCCGTAATGTACACCTTGGACAATCAAATTCGTGAAATATCCCAAAAAACAAACTCGCTGAAAATTTTGTATTCGGAAGAAATGCCAAAAATCACCGATTTGGAAGTGGCAGTGCGCGAAAACTCCATTCTGTTCACCATAGAAAACTCACCAACTCTTCAAAAAATCAACACAAACACCATGAAGCGGCAATACATCGAACATATAGGCTATCCAAGAAAAATCGCTTATGATTGGTCCACGGGGCACATCTACTACTACAACGCCCTCTCCGATGACAAATCCATAAGCGTGTGCAGTTTTGAAGCGATGGCGTGCGCAAAATTGATCGACGTTGATATTCACTTGCACGTGTCAGAACTAACAGTGGACTCGGTCAATCGGGTACTTTTCTACTCGCTCACTAGTTGGTGGGTGTTTAATGTACCCAGCTACGTTCTATACAAGGCCAACTTGGACGGTACCGGTGTTACAGAGATTGTCAAAAGTACCCACGGATTTATTTCCGGTCTGTCGTACGACTTGAACAAGAAGCAAGTTTACTATGCTGACCAACATCAAGGCCAAATTCTCAAAATCAGTTACGAGGGCAAACAGAAGACCACGCTATTCTCCAACCTCACCCATCCTTCTAGTTTGAAGTTTTTCGAAAACACTTTATACTTTGCAACGAGTAATGGAGACATTTCAAAATGCTTATTGGTAATTATTAGGCATCCGTACTAAAGTGAGTGTTCATTAATGATAATTTTTTTTTATTAGTATGGCACCAGGCTGTGTGAAACCTTCCAAATCTCGGCTCACAGTTACGGTCTGTTTACGTTGGTACAGGAAGGACTGCAACCTCCGTTGGAGAACCCCTGCAAGAATAGTAGCTGTCACTTTATGTGCGTGGCTAGTAGTTCGCGCTACAAGTGTCTGTGTGAAGATGGCAGCATTGTCGGAGAGAAGGAAAAATGCAGTAACAAATATGTAAGTAGAGAAACGGTTTGAAAACTTTCGATAACTTGTCCGTGATTATCTGTGAGAACAAATCTTATATCAACAGCGTAAAGGATAGACTGAAGGCCAATTCATACTATACTTATTTTGATCACGATCCGTTCACAGTAAGATGTGAGTGTTCACCCAGCACAGTCAAGTCGCGATCAGTGAGCAGAAGTAGCAAAATCTGTAGCAATTTCAATATGTTCAAGAGTTTTTCAGTATCAGATTTAGCTATTGTATTAGACGAAGAAGATGATAATGAACATTTCTAAATAGCAAGCGCCTTTGGCATATTTCTTCTTCTTCAAGTGCCTTGTCCTCTACGAACGTTGGCAATCATCAGCGCTATCTGTACTTTGTCGACTGCTTTTCTGAATAGACTTGTCGTGGTTTCGCTATACCAGTGACGCAAATTCTTTACCCAAGATATTCTTCGACGTCTAAGGCTTCTTCTGCCTCTGATTTTTCCCTCGATTATGAACTTGAGAAATATAGGTATTTGTCATTCCTGAGTATGTGTCCGAAGTAGGTACTCTAACTTTCGCTTTTTAAGTGTGAATATAACTTCAAGATCTTTTAACATTCTCGTTAGCACATCTTCATTGCGCACTCTGTCCAAGATATTTTTTACATCCGTCTATATATCCCTTTGAATATAAAACTATAGGAAGAAGCATAACTTTGAATCTGCGGGACCAAAATATGTGGAGGTTGCATATATGGCCGACTAGTATTTCCGGTTTGGCAGTGGCGTATATTTATTTAAATATGATTGTGAATATTATGACTCACTCTTTTCGCACTAATCCCAGTGCTTATTATCACTTAAAACCGCTAAAATCCATTAAACATCCACTTGAATGAGGATACAGCGAACCACCAAAACAAATGATGAGTCCATACTTGGAGGCTCAATATGGCTGTTTCCGTCCCTGCGTTGTCTGTAGTGACAGATAGAAAACGCTCCTTCCTGTAGTTTTATATTCAAGGATATATCCACATTTCAAAAGCCTCTAGCTTTTCACACATGGCGTCTGTCAGAGTTAATACCTCAATCTCATAATAGAGAATACTGAAGACGTAGCAACCTAGTACTCGAATGCGAACGGAGAGCGAGAGACCTCGACGACACAACACAGACTTCATTTTTACAAATGATGTTCTGGCTTGTTCAATCCTGGCACGAACCTCCTGCATGTTATCCCAGTCTTCATTAACCTAACATCCTAGGTATCTGTATGATTGATGGACCCGATCGATTTGTTGGTTCTGTACCTGAAGAATACCTCCTCCAACCTGGTTTTTCTAATCACCATCAATTTAGTTTTTTTGGCGTTCACTGATAATCCAAAGTCTCCACTTTCAGTAGCCAAATGATCAAGTAATATTTGAAGACCTTCCAGAGAATCGGCGATTAAAACAAATATTAAAAAGTAATGATGAAAGCATGCAACCCTGCCGGACACTTCTTTTTATCCGTACTACGTCAGATATTTGTTGGTATACCTTGATTTGTGCAGTTTAATTCCAGAAGAGACTTACGATTATCTTGAGGTCTTTATCATCTACGCCTACATCCTTGAGAATTTTCATAAGCTTCTCATGTTGTAGATACCCTGTCAAACGCTTTCTCATAATCTACGAAGCATGCGTAGGTTTTTCGATTATTGAATGGCGTGTTGGACTTCTTCCTTAGTTATATCCAGTCCTTCCCTTCAGGAATATCCGATCTCTCGTCCTGAAACAGGCTTTTGATTTAGTTGAAGTTGCACCACTGTTTTACTTTGTCGTTGAGATCAAGAATTATCTCTTGACTGTCCAACAGAATGTCGATTTGTCGAGGTTTGTATACAAACAGCAGCTTCTCTAATTTTCTTATGCATATAAAACTGCCAATCTTATTTGCATTGAAGTTACCCATAATAATTGTAATTTGTGACTTCTTAGTCAGATCCAAGAGGCTTTGGAGTTGTCCGTAAAATATTTCAACAGCTTCGTCTGAATAATCGCAGGTTGGTGCATATATGTCTGGATAATATTCACATTGTATGGTTTGGAATCTGGCATATTTGGATACATTCAATGTTAAAAAACATGTTTTTCTAACTTTTTGCGAAAAATACGGTATCCGCCAAAATAAACAGTACCGAAATCTAGAGCTCTGAGTAAGTAGCAGCAAGTTAAACTGTGTAGTTACCTACTCTGGTGGAGACGTGTAGTTTTAGCCTCAGTGACATCACATCTTAAACTCGCCCTATCTTTGACATATTATTATCTCCTGTATCTTTAATTTGAAAAAAATATTTGAAAATCTATGGTAAATTAACAAAGCAAGATTTACAGAGTTTAACATAACATTAAATAATTAGAACTTTGAATAACTAACAACTAACAATAACAACAAAGAAGTTTGAATTGAAGTAAGCAAATTTTACATAACAAAATCAGCAAATTTTTTTGGTAGTCTTTTTTCTTGTTTTTGTCTTCCTTCAAGTTCTACATATCCTTGTATCTCTGTAGTGTTTCCGCTTTTCTTTCTCTTCTTAATGTTTAAATCCTCTCCCTTGATTGCAGGTAGTTTTGCCAAAAACTTTCTGTTTCTCCTTAGAACATCATTCGATCTGGACCATAAATGAATTGGTTCTTGACTGTCTTACAATGTTTCCATTACATTTCATATCTTTTATGTGAACTAGGTCTTTATCATTCAATTTTGGTACAGTTTAATTTGACTTAGGTATGTTTACAGTCATAATTTTTCTTTGCTTCTTCTTGTTCCTTTCTCTGCTTCTTCCTAACTTTTTCATGGTCAAGCAATTTTGGTTTTAGGTTTTGCCGAGGGTTTTTCTTTGTGATAGGTAAAATTTTTCTTCCAAATAGTAGTTCTGATGGAGAGTTTTCACATGAAAGTGGTGTATTGCGGTATGCTAATATATTCCCAAATAATAGGATCTTCACACTTTCTTAACAGTTTTTTCACTAACTGTATGTACAGCTCTCTCTGCTGAACCATTATTTTGCGGAAATCCTGGGGCTACTTTTTATCTGGTTCAAGTTGTAAGTTTTGCAAACTTCCTGAAACTGTAACTATTGAATTGTGGTCCAGCGTCTCTGAGTATCATATCTCTGGAATTCCATAACGTCCAAAGATTTCTCTCATTTTTTCAATACCTAATGTCTTCACTTTTAGTTTTCTTTAGTGTAATAACTACTGAATATTTTGAGTACACATCCTGTAGGACAAGGTAGACTTGATTTCTATACTGGAATAAAATCTGCTGATACATGCTGAAATGGTAAGTCTGGCAATTTTCGAAGTGTCATAGGATCTGTCATCTGATTCTGGTTCTTCAAACATTCACGACAATTTTGGCTTTGATGTCCAAAATCAATTTGATTTGAGGTTTCTCTGTACATAGATGAAGGAATCATAAGCCTGTCTTTGTAATACAACAAACTGCCATAATATGTAATTTCATCACGATATTTGGAATATTTTTGACATGTCTCAGTTACTTGTGATGTTTTTTTTGGCCATCCCTGCATTTATAGATATTCACTAATTTTTTGAAGTTATTCTTGCTGTGCTTTTTCAACCATTTGGTGTATTAACTTCAAGTTATCTTCAGTTTCTTTCCTGATAACATTTACATAGTATTCAACTTCTTCTTCCAATACATCTTTTCCAATATCTATCTGTCTCAGTGGCTGTCTTTATAACGTATCTGGTACATAGAATTTTTTTCCAGTGACATATATGTTCAATCTCAAATGTAAATCTATACCATTTCCAGAATTATTTCACACTAGTGAAATTTGATTTCAAATTAATGAAAACTAAATTCACATCAGTGAAATCTAATTTCGCTCAAATGAAAATTGATTTCAAAGTAACGAAAACTAATTTCTCACAAAAGAAATTTGATTTCACATTTGTGAAAATGAATTTCAAACTGACCCTAATTAATACTCATTTTTCAAACATTTATTATTTTAATTTGAAAAAAACAACAAATGTTATTTATTTCATCGTAATGAAATAAACCCACCGAGTTCACATAACGTAAAATACAATGAAGGGGGTGATTCGTCGGTTAGGACAAATAAAACTTAAAAGGCCTGTTAAGTCTTTGCCAACGTTTTGCCCAAAAGTTTAGCGCTTCATCAGGGCTTAAATATATATTAGGAACATCAAAAAAGTGCTAACAAAAGACTGAAGTTTACATGCCTTGTACTTAAAAAATTATGTGGCTAGAATTATATAAAATAGTGCGAGATTTTTCAGGATGGAACATTCAAGTGCACATAACCAAATCACAATACATTGATAAAATTGTAAAAAGACAATTTTTTTAATATTTTTTTTGTCCTAACCGACGAATCATCCCCTTCATTGGATACTGACAGGACACAAACTTCCCTTAGATAAAATACAATCATGAAGCAATTAACAATAATAATTATAAATTATTTAAATAAATTGAACTTCAGTTGAATTTTCTCACTCATGAGATAGCTGCATTATACCTTTCCACGTGATTTGCCAAACTGAAGTTTGATTTATTTAAATAATTCATACTTATTTCATGATTGTATTTTATGTTATCTAAACCACAGTTTCCTAAACTCAGTGGGTTTATATCATTAGGCTGAAATAATAAATGTTTGAAAAATAAGTATTAATTAGGGTCAGTTTGAAATTCATTTTCAAAAATGTGAAATCAAATTTCGTTAGTGAGAAATTAGTTTTCGTTACTTTAAAATCAATTTTCATTTGAGCGAAATTAGATTTCACTGATGTGGATACCATTTCCATAGTTAATCTATACCATTTCCAGCATTATTTCACACTAGTGAAATTTGATTTCAAATTAATGAAAACTAAATTCACATCAGTGAAATCTAATTTCGCTCAAATAATGAAAATTGATTTTAAAGTAACGAAAACTAATTTCTCACAAACGAAATTTGATTTCACATTTTTGAAAATGAATTTCAAACTGAACCTAATTAATACTTATTTTTCAAACATTTATTATTTCAATTTGAAAAAAACATCAACAACGTTATTTATTTCAACCTAATTCTATAGACTAAATCGTTGCAATCGTACAGTCAAATCATTTATAGATTTCGTCTTTAAGGTAGTCAAAAGAGGTAAATGACCAGTTTGATGTCATTGGCTTGCATAGTAAATGATTTACCTATTAGGTAGGTACTCTTCCAGTCTTTCACATACCCATACAATAGCATTTGCTTCCTTTTCAATTTGGACATAGATAGCGTTGTCGTGTTTCAGTTAAAATTTTTGAGCTCATCTCCCATGCGGTTGTAATTTTTTTAAACAGCCTCTAATTCCAATAGATCTCGAGTTTGCCAGAATTCTTGTTTCTTTAGTAACATCACAATCCTTCAAAACTGGTGCACTTTTGACAAGTACTTTTTATTTATTAAAACACTGTTAATGGTAATCATTAAACTGAAAAGTATTGTTACGTTTTAAAACTTTGCGTAGAGGTTTTGTTTCATCTGCAATATTTTTAAGAAATTTTGTAAGATGATTTATCATACCAAGAAACTCCTTACATTTGTCACTGTTCATTTTTATACCCGATTGTCCGATAATGTGTCCAAGTAATTTCACTTCCGAAATGCCTATCTGACATTCTGACTCGTTTAAACTAAGTCCATTGTCTTGTAACACTTTAAGCACTCTTTTTAACTTTTCATCATGCTGTCCAACATTTTCTCCAGAAACTGTTATGTCGTCAATGTGTACTAATACCCCTTCATGGTTATTGAAAAGTCTTTTCATTGTACTCTGAAAAATTTCTGGAGCTGAAGTAATTCCGAAAGGAATTCTCTTGTAGATGTAGCTTCCAAAAGGTGTTAAAAAGGCAGTGTAGTGCTTTGAACCTTCTGATAATGGAGGTTGCCAAAAACTTGATACACAATCTAATTTTGAAAATACTTTTGCATTTCTCACTTGTGCCAGTGTAGAATCCACTAGTTGGTAAAATAAGTTTTTAGAGAAGAAAAAGACAAGGGAGACCCCAGTGTGTATTCTGTGCATACATTTTATTGAATAGCAGAGCGCTTTCGGCCGTAGGCCATCTTCAGTGCTTCTTTGTCAGGAGTACATCGAAGTCAGAAATTGTAAAAGAGCACCACATACTTAATGGAACGAACATACATTTAAATTATTGCAAAACATTAAACATTTAGGTGTAAAAACATTTAGGTGTAAAAAGGGGGCCCTAGGGCTGAACCATGGCAATTACATTAATTAGTTTGGTCTCAGACAACGTGTTCTTTTTCGTTTTGTAATTAATGCTGGATGACACAGGAAGAAAGTCAGACTTTCTTCCTGTGTCATCCAGCATTAATTACAAAACGAAAAAGAACACGTTGTCTGAGACCAAACTAATTAATGTAATTGCCATGGTTCAGCCCTAGGGCCCCCTTTTTACACCTAAATGTTTTTACACCTAAATGTTTAATGTTTTGCAATAATTTAAATGTATGTTCGTTCCATTAAGTATGTGGTGCTCTTTTACAATTTCTGACTTCGATGTACTCCTGACAAAGAAGCACTGAAGATGGCCTACGGCCGAAAGCGCTCTGCTATTCAATAAAATTTATGCACAGAATACACACTGGGGTCTCCCTTGTCTTTTTCTTCTCTACATCGTTGATGTGCACACAGCCATTTCCCTCATTTAAATAAGTTTTTCTCTTAAAACAAATTTATTGAGTTCAGTGAAGTCAGCACATATTCTAACGTAATCATTTGTTTTGGGGACACAAACCGTTGGTGCGCGCCATGGAGTAGGATTATTGTAATCCACCTGGTCAATTATCTGTTGATCTATCATTTATGGAAGTGCTACCCTTCTGGGTGCTGAAATTGAGTATGGTACACAGTTTTCTGGCACTTTTATCAGTCTTTCAATTTCCCAAATTGGTTTTAGCAGGTTCAAGTCCTGTATGCCAAGTAAATTTTCATGATTTTCTATGAGATATACGTTGATTTTATTATTTTCATCCTTCCTAATCTGAAGTGTACATTTTCCAATAACATTTAATGGACATCCTCCTGGACCCTTCAATTTTACTTAACTACGTTTCAGTGTTGGTTTTCCATTTAGCTTATCGTAAGATTTTTTATTCAATATTGTTCTGTCAGCATCTGTGTCAATCTTGAAAGATATTTCTTCTTCAAGAACTCTCGTGAGATTTTCTATGCAGTTCGAATCGGTTTGCTTTATTGCCTACCAAAAAGTAACTTTACTTATGATCGCCATTGGTTCCTGAGTGAAGACTTTTCAACTTTTGATGAACTATGAAGTGTCCTCTCTGAAAACCTGCCTCCTATTCTCTGTCGACTCTAAAGACTTTATTTTACCACGCATGTTCCGATTCTACATACAATCAACGCTTATCTAATGAGAAATAACTGTTTTTTTTTTTTTTTTGCTTAGAAAACCAACTCTGGAAAACCTATCGAGTTCCATTCGGTGGATTCAAAGTCAGATGGCGACAGTGCTACCTCAAAAACTGTACTTTCCATACTTCTAATTTCGGTTTGTCTGATACTAGTCGGCTTTGGACTGGTCACTTATGCTAGAAAACGGCAAGGGGCAGATCGATTCCATCTAAGGTAAGAAAACGTAGATAGAACCGTCATAGCAACTATTATTGGCTTTTTCAACTCTACTAAATTTTGTATCTGGGAGATTGGATCAGTGGTACTATAATGTTTATTTTCTATTCTAGAATGCGTTTCATCAATCCAATTTACAAGAGAAATGCCGCTGATGGTCTGGAAAAGCCGATTCTTATGCCTGGCGAGCATGAATACACAAATCCGGCGTTGATGGATAGGATGAAAGATGATGAAATAGACGGGCAAAAAAATTCAACTGCCCTTATTGAAGTCTGAAATCTCTTTACTCTGTGAATGTCTCTCTTTTTTTAATGTTCCTTCAATTTTTTTTGTGTCGTGTTGCATGTTTTTAAGGCACCCTTTATTTTAATTAGTTTTATTTTTATTGTGCCAATTTTAGTGTAATTTTAATTATTCCTCACAATACAAGTCTGAATTTTATGTGATGTTAATTTTTATAATATTTATTATTTATTTATTTGTTACGAATCTAATTTCGTTATAATTATATTCTAAAAAAAAAACATTAATTTATTGAATTAATAAATTTTTATCGAATATTGCATTCCTCTTATTTTTTCACTCACAATTCCTGCACAGAGAAAAAAAATTCCTTTTAAGCAAAACTGCACTTTTATCTTGCAAACTATAATTGTCAACCAGGAAACACAAATAATAATAATAATAGAAAATTTATCACCTTTCCAAGTGAAAGAACAATAACCCAGCAGCACCGGTACCTTAGGTATGATGTTTGCCATTTGTATTATGATCCCTCTGGGCCACTTTCGCATTTTATCTTCTAACGGAACCTCGGTCGGAACCAGTCGCAGTTAAGTACCACACAGTCGGTGGCGGATAAATCACGCTAAATCTTTGCTCCACATTCTCGTCTCTTCTTTCAGTCGCTTTCGGGTACTTCAATTCTTCGTTGCGTGCCGTCTCAATAATGGTAAGTAAAACGATTATTTAGTTTTTTTAATTTTGGAAAATTGTATTTTTTTTCTTTGTAGATTAAAAAATGCGCATTGATTTTAATTCTCGTTATATTATATTCTGAAGCAAAATTCATTGGAATTAATGATGATGAAATAGATTCAGATAGTTCCAATGAGGCTACCACCACAATTTGTCCAGAAGAACTTGAGAACAGGAATGATACCAATTTGAATCCTCAAAACGAAAATCTTACAGAATCTGATGATTTGGATCTTGATAATGAAGCTTTAACAACAACAACTATTTGTCCAGACGAAATAGAAAAAAATCCTACAACAATTCCAACTACTATTGGCCCTTTAAAAGAGGAGGAAACAGAATTGCCTCCAAAAGCATTAGCAGAAGAACTTGAAAACACTTTAAACGATTTGGAAGAAATTATTACTGAGGACTTCGAAGAGCCTACAACACCCTGTCCAGAAGAAACGGAAGAACCAACCACAATAAATACTTCATCGGAGATTACAGAAGAAATTTCCACTACAACAATGGGTCCCGAAGAATTAGCAAAACTCACAGTGAAAAACATATTATCGATCCAAAAAGACTCTGCCTTATACAAACTAGTAAAAGACAAATTAAACCTGAAAAGATCCAGACGACAAGTGCAATATTATGGAAATCAACCTTCTTACAGTAAAGTTAAAACTTACCAGCAAATTCAGCGACAATATGCAAAACCAGGGGCAAGCTATTATAAGCCAACATCTTACGTAAGGTATCCTAATAATAATGCCAACAGGAAGTATTACAGGAACAAGGCTGTCAATAGGAGACAATATGCTGTTGCTAGCAGCACTACAGCGAGACCTACAAGAGCTGTTATCAAGAAAAAGTTTAGGCCTTCACCTGTATTTGCATAAAATTGTTTAATTAGTTAATTTATTATAATATTTATTTATATCAATTTTAAAAATTTCTAATTACCTATAACTACTTACTTAAATAAATAAAAAAAGTTATCCTGGAGAAAAAAATTGCAATATCCTGTATGTTATCATTTTGTCCTGATCTTAGAAAAGTCCTAAAAAATTGACAATCTATGGGAGTATATATAATAAAAATTTTACAGTTTCCAAAACTGTCTTGAAATCAAATCGTACTAACATGACCTGAAAAGGCAAGGGCTTATATTTTTATTTCTCTATCAGCACTACGCATCGACCATGAAAGGTGTGCATAGGGGTGACCGGGGGGTGACTTCTCTGTTCTGGGGGTTACTTATTTGTTTTTTTACATCACAACTCTTTTCCCACAAAATCTATTTTGAACATTTTCAATCTCTCAGTAACTGCAGAACTCACTACACTAGGAAGTTATTAATTATCATTTTATTTTCTAAATACAAATATTCTACATGTATAATTTAAAAAAAATCACTTTAACTTAATAATAGAACAAATAATTAATCCAGCATTTTCCATTGTATGTGAAATTGAGGCTGGCTTTTTTCATGATACTACTTCCCGTGCTATTTGACTGACTATGTGTAATGGACAATCCTGAGGACAATTTCCATTGCCCTAAAATTGATTTTCATAAAACTGCTTCCACAACTCAGGAATCTACTTACGTGATAGGTATCGTGCAGCTTTAACATCCCTTCGTTCTTACGGATTCTCAACACCAAATCATACTGAAGTTCTAGTTTTTTTACGCATGACTCGCAGACCGTTTTCGGTAATCCATCATATTTTTTCAGCTGAAAGGAACATTTTGTTACATATAGATCAGTTTTGTGATAAAAATTACTAAGCATATAGGCGCAGAGCTGAGATAATGATTAGAAAAATATACTTAAAGTTAAATTGTACTTTTCCATTCAATTTTGTATGCAGTTATGTATCACATTACTGCAAAAAATGTGACAATGAGTTTATAAGAACTTAAGTAAGTACAAATACTCTAAGTAGGAACTTAAAGTATTTATAAGTAAGTAATTAAATCCATATGAAACTAGGGATCATTCACAACAGGATATCCCATATACCGCAGGAGATATCCAAAACTCCTCAGGGAAATCCAGGGAGGTTTGGGAAGTTAAATTTCTTGGGTTTTTGTAATAGTTTTTTCTTTCAATTTTTGTAGGGTTTATGTGTTTTTGTAGGATTTTGTGATTACTCAACCTGATAAAATTGCATATTTATTTATTAGTTCATTAGCACAAATTCATTTCATTTATAAGTTATGATACTACTCGAGAAAAGTTCCTTCTGATTTTAACTTCTGTATCTAAGAATAATTATTGTCTGATTAATATTATTTGACTATTCTTCCTCAAGATTTTTTTTCAGTTTAATATATGTAATTAAGAAAAAAGTGAATAATCCAAGATTTATTTATTTGCTTATACTATTCCCAGATATCTCAGATTCAGAACAATGTCATGTGTATTTTAAATGGACAGGATTTTGAATAAAAATGAAATTTTCCAGAAAAAGTTCTATTTACAGCTATTTTGATTTTGTCAAATTTAAAGCTGAAATGCAGCTCAGATGACAAAAATAGAGTTTTTGAGCACTTTAACTATCAAATTCTATGATTTGCTCATATTTTTTCTGAACCTCAAATCCGGAGAGAGATTTGATTTGAGAAGTAGCTTCATTGGCTGATAAATCTTGAAGCCAAGTTTTGAATTTCTCAGATCCAGAGCAAAAATGTTGGTGTAGTGGAGTAGTTTTTTCCTGAGTTTTTTTCTCTTCACTAGTTACTCTCATTTTTCATTGCAATTGTTGTCTATTTGAGACCAAAATTTATGAACATTGAAAACAAATTCAAAAGCCTGGAAGAGGAAAATTATTTTAATAATTCAACTTTTTTTCACCCTGTAAAATTCTCTATTTATTTATTGCTAAACTACCGAGTGTACTACCTATTGAGTCTAAGTCATGATTTCATAATGCTTGTTAATATTAACTGGAATCATAATGCTACTTATTCCTCTAGACTCGAAAGTATTATCAATAATAACTATTTAAAACAGTTAGTAAATGAAGACACTCAAATTTTTAACTGAGGTCCTTGACTAATAGATGTGTTAAGTAATGGTAACATATGAAGTAACACAAGAGTCAACCACTCACGAAAAAACGTACAGTTATTTCCAGTTTCTGGGAATACGTCTCGAATTTGGACAGTATTTCCAAGTATTCCCCCTTGTATGCCCCGGTATTTCCAAGTAAGGTCAACTTGGTTAACTGACACAGCAAAGTAGCTATGCCAGTTTTTGGCTTATTATTTAAATTTGAATGGAAACACAGCTTGGGTGCCAGTTGCCCCAGTAAAAATAAGTACAGGAGCAACTGGAACTTATATGATGTGGCCAACTGGAACATATGTTCCGTTCCACCTGAAATTAACATTGTATTACATATTCTCGATTGTCCTAGAGCAAATATGGTCAGGAATTATGACCGTAGAACCTCCAAAAGTGCGGACGGGTGAAGATACAAGTTGGCTCTGAAAAAACCAATTGAACATGTCCAGAACGCTATACGGTGCTGCCATTTTCTATGACATCCCAAGATCCACAATAAGACTCTGTATTTGGAACAAGAAAAAAAGGTAAATTGTCGGTAAGAGGATAAGGTAGTGGAGGAATATATGATTTAAGTAGAATAAGAGCTGTCAACTGTGCTGAACATCATGCAGAAATGGAGATAAAGATTACTTACAAAGACAATAGTTTATTGTTTTATTTTCTGTTCATTTTAGCATTTTTATTAAACATTATCTATTCTCCACTAAGTAATACTTCTGTTGCATCTCCCATCTCAGGCAAATCAGTTCTCAATTGCCACAAAATTAGGGCAACTGGAACCGTTGGCCAAAAAAAAAATTGGAACACTTAACCAGAACAAAGTGAAACACTGTACCAGAACAAACCAGAACGAAAATGCACGCAATTTTTGAGATTTTAATGAAAATGCCCAAAAATAGTTTAAAATTGGGGTTGGAAGTTATAGAAATTTACAAATACTTCCATGTATTTCCAAATTATATCCATGTACTTTTAGAGTATTCCCATATACTTCCAGCATATTCCCCCCAAGGATTTCCAAGTACTTATTCCTAGGTGTTTCCAGAGTATTACCAAGTATTCCTAAGTATTCCCAAAGTATTCCCAACAAAGTGTACAGTAATTTCCATGAATGATTCACCCCTCGAGGTAACAGTAACAAGTGAGCTTAATTTTTGTGATTTAAGATGTTTAAAAATCACTATTCCACAGGGACCAGATATAACAAATTTGATATACTTATAGAAGTAAAATACAGAATATTGACTAGTTGCGTTCTGATATATTGAATCTAAGTAAAAGCATAGAAGCAATCAAGGCAACATTGATGACAAATATGATGGATAAAGGACCTTTTCCAGCAAAATGACGGGTATTATTGATACTCACCAGCCAAAAAAAGAAGTTGTTGTAAATGTTAGGTACTTATAATGGATGGTTTAATGACCGGGTTTTAAATGCAATAAAGGAAAGAGAAAATCGAGGAGAAAATGCTTATAAAACATATGCAATCAGTAAAAATCAGATCAATTGGGATAATTATAGAAATAGTAGAAATGCTGTTATAAACATAATAGGAATAGAAAAGTGTAGATATTAGCAGGAGAGGGTGGATAATTGCTATAATGACCCAAAGAAAATGCAGAGATCATTGATACCTTAGATTATTAAAACACATTTCTGGTCAAAAAAAACAGAATAAAAAGACAAAATTGATTTTTTGGGAAGCATTTCCAATAATTCATCCAAGAATCTATCTGAAATTTTGAAAAATTTTAATACCTTTTTTATGTAGAGTATTACTGATATTGTACAGACAATACCTCTAGCCCAAAGAATATTTATTACTGAAAATAGTGGTAATATCAGTGTATTTTTTTTACTTTCAACTTATTGACAAAGATATTTTTAGGAAAGTAAGTAAGTGCTTCTATAAAGAATTTTTTGATGAATAATCAAATATAGTTTTGAATGTTGTTAATAGTTCTTTATTATTGCATGAAAAGATGCTTTGAAAGTTTCAACTGAGGTTTCAACGATAGTGCCAATAAGAAAAGTGGCTAAAACTGTCAAGGCGCAGGAGTTTAGACCCATAAATATGCTTTGTGCATTCGTAAAAATATTAGAACAACTGTTTACTTCCAGATTTTGGACTTTGTGACAGAGAATGGCTTATTGTGTGGCTTTCAATTGGGATTTAGAAAGGATCACAGGTGTGAAACCGCAATTCAGTATATTATTAATGATTGGAAAGAATCAATGGATAACAATGAAGTAAGTAACAGCTCTGATTTTTCTTGATCTCAAATGTGCTTTTGAAATGGCGGATAGGGATAAACGAGGGGATAAACTAGTTTTGAAAATGAGGTCTTTGGGTTTTGATAGGATTGTCATGAATTGGATTCGGTTCGATTATTTAACTAAAAGAAGACAGAAAGTGAAATGTGCTGGATACACTTCCTGGGAAAGTTATATTAATGCTGGGGTGCTCCAGGGTAGTATTTTGGGTTCACTCCTGTTTATACCATAAATTAATAATAAACAGCTGGTTTTGAAAAATGTTAGATACCATCTTTTTGCTGATGATACTGTTATTTATGCATAAAATAAGTCAAACGTTAGGAAATGTAAGTGAGTGAATGAAATTTAATAAACTAAAACTAAATGTTTCCAAGACCAAAGCTATGTTAATAGGAAAAAATGTTTATAGAGGAGTTTGTCACGGGTTTCATGAAAATGTAGATTGTGTGTAAAAAAATTAGCGTTCTTAGAAGAGTTGCATGGTATTTAAGTGTTAGGAGTAGAAAATTGGTATACAATACAATAATAGGTATTGCTAGTCAGGGATGTATAAGTAGGCTGCAAAAATTGCAAAATAAAGCGATGGGAGTGATATTAGATATAAATAGGTACACAATAAGGATAGGTGATATGTTGGAAAAATTAAATTGGCTAAGTGTGCCAAAGTTTTTAGAATTTAATGTTTGTTTTTGTAAAAAGTGAAATAGTGCCCTCGATAGTGCCTCAGTATGTTCGAGGCAAGGGGCAAACCACCTAGGAATTCTTTGCCAAAAATGTGGGGAATTTAGAGGAATTAATGGGGAATTTGAAGGAACTCATCGGAATTTATGAGAATTTGGGGAATTTATAGGGAATTTGGAAAAATTTATAGTGAATTTGGAAAAATTTATGGAGAATTTAGAGGAATTTGTTAGAAATTTATGAAAAATTTAAAGGAAATTGTAGAGTCATGACGTCACTGAGGTTCACATTCTTATTAAGATATACAGTGAAACTTCCCTAACTCGAATCTTCAAGGGAAAGTCGAGTTCTAGTTCCGGAAAATTCGATTTATGGAAAAATAGATAAAATTGAGGATATTTGAATACATATTATGTGTGTATTACTTAAAAGTAGTTACATATAAATTATATAAACCAAGCCAAGTCTATCTGTCGCCGCTGGTTACTAGGAATCGGTAATTTCCCCAAGTGCACTAAATGCAGTAAAGTGTGACAAGTGAGTGAACCTTGGTAACGTATGAGGTAGCAGAGGAGAAGACAATAGTTATTTACATTACAAGTGCGTTTATGAACATGATTACAATAACGAGGGTGAAAGATTAGAACGACGAGGTCATAGACCGAGTCTAATCACACGAGTTTTGTAGTCATGTTTAAAAGCACGTGTGATGTACAACGTTTTATCTACAAAGCGAAAAATAATAATGTTTTCTCAATTATTTTCGTTTATTAGTAGTTGTCTACCTTCATTTTACCTTTACAGGTTTACCTTTGACATTTGTCAAATCACCAAAAATAGTTGTGTTATAGGTTCATAACCTCGTCCATAACACCACTAGTTGTGTTATGAATTCATAACCTAGTCTATAACACCACTAGTTGTGTTATGAGTCTCATGACACAACTCAAATACTAGAAAAATAGTTATGTAAAAACGTCATAACCAAACGCTTGTAGATAAAAACCTATACTATACGACGCGACGGGTCCCCGACGTGGTGCATTGCGAAAATTGCGTTACCCTGACGCGACAACCCGCGTATATGTCTATTTAATCTCGCGCCAATCAGGAGCGTTTTGCCCGCATTCCTTCCACACAGGTTCACTCACTTGTCGCACTTTAGGTGCTTCCCTGAAAAATTCGAGTTACGCTTAGTTGTCCCCATGGTTGCCACTAAATTTTAGTTCGAGTTTTAGAAATATTCGAGTTATAGAGATTAGAAATTCGACTTACTAAGAAAAAAATACATGGTGAGGTTGTGGCTCGGGTTGTGGAAACCTATTTGTTTGGGAAGAAAATTCGATTTAGAGAATATTTCGAGTTTGGGAAGTTCGAGTTAGAAAAGTTCTACTGTATAATAATAAATGGAAATTTAAAAAAAAAAACTAGTTTTGTGTTGAACGTTGGACATTCATTTTCATTAAAGAAATTCTCCCAAAATTACACTCCATGATTTACAGGTCCAAATTTAAAAAATTCAAAACAATAATGTTTTTGTAGGCTGATTTCCAAAATTCTTCATATTGTTATTTTTCACTGGAAAAATTTGAAATTTTGAGAAAATGAGCTTCTAACCTTCCTCTTCACATGTAAAAAGTTTCACATTTTTCCGTTCACTAGTTTTCCAGGAAAACTTCTAAATGTGTGAGAGTGTATTTTAAATAATTCAGTTATTGTAGGTTGATTTCCAATATTCCCTCGAATATTCCTCATGTTGTTATTTTCCACTGGAAAAATTTGAAATTTTGTGAAAATGAGCTCCTCTCCTTTCTCTTGACATGCGAAAAGTTTCAAAATTTTCTCTTCACCAGTTTTTCAGGAGCAGTTTGAAATGTGTAAGACTGTATTTTCAATTGATTCAGTTATTGGAGATTGATTTCCAAGATTCTTCACATTGTTATTTTCCACTAAAAAATTTGAAATTTTAGGAAAATGAGCTTCTCCCCTTCCTCTTAATATGCAAAAAGTTTCAAAATTATCCCTTAATTAGTGTTCCAGGAAAACATTGAATTGTGTGAGACTGTATTAACAATTATCTCTGTTTTTGTAAGTTGATTTCCAAGATTGTTCATATTGTTATTGTCCACTGGAAAAATTTGAAATTTTGGGAAAATGAGCTTCTCCCCTTCCTCTTCACATGCAAAAAGTTTCAAAATTTTCCCTTCACTAGTTTTCCAGGAAAACTTTGAAATGTGTAAGACTGTATTTTCAATTGATTCAGTTATTGGAGATTGATTTCCAAGATTTTTCATGTTGTTATTTTCCACTGGAAAAATTTAAAATTTTGGGAAAATGAGCCGCTGACCTTATTCTTCATGTGCAAAAAGTTTCAAAATTTTCCCTTCACTAGTTTTTCACGAAAACTTTGAAATGTGTGAGACTTTCAATTAATTCAGTTATTGTAGGTTGATTTCCAAGATTCTTCATGTTGTTATTTTCCACTGGAAAAATTTTAAATTTTGGGGAAATGAGCTTTTCACCTTCCTCTTTACATACAAAAAGTTTCAAAATTTTCCTTTCACTAGTTTTCCAGGAAAACTTTGAATTATATTCTCGATCATATTTGATAAACTGCTCTTGTATTTTTACCTCGATTTTTACTAAGCAAAAAAAAAAAAATAGAAAAAATAAATTTCTTATCACGAGCAATTATGGGGATTTTTAGGGAATTTGTAAGAGACATTTGTTGGAAATTTGAGAGAGGTTTGGAGGTATTTGCAGGGAATTTAGAGGAATTTGTGGGGTATTTGGAGAAATTTGTGGTGGGGTATTTGGAGGAATTTGTGATAGGGTATCTGGAGGAATTTGTGGGGAATTTGGAGGAATTTGCAGGAATTTTGAGGAATTATGCGTTAAAAAATCCCCTTTGAGGAATTGTTTGCACAAATTCTGGGATGGTGGTTTACCCCTTGGTGCGAGGTATTGTTTATAGTTTATACTTTTGAACAAATACCTATATATAATTATTCTACAAGAAGTAGAAAAAATTATGTATTGGCTCATCTCAAAATTCCACATTTTTTAAAGGATTAATGGTAGATAATAATTTGACTCAGTATTTGAAAAATGCTGGAAGTATACCAGCATTTGAATCGGAATCGAGAAGGAAATATTTGTATGATTTATGTACTTTTGTATACAAATATGCTCAGAAATATGTTGTAATTCTTGGATGGGGTTTGGTGAATGTATTGTAGATTGTACTTAAGTAAGTAAAATGCCTAATACTTTAAGTAGCTCAGCTCTGCATATAGAGGGGATTAAACTTGGGATACTAACATCCATACATTGCAATAAATTCAACAATAAAGGGCAAGGGGTAAAACATAGCACAAAACTCTAAAAATTCTTACTGTTATTGGCAGCAATTTCAATTTAGTCATCAAATCCAGTTTTTTCGCTTTGGAAGTGTAGAAGTGGATCACGACTTTCCTTTGCTTGGTGCAGAGTCGACAAACAAACCCTGTTTTTATGGCTTTACCTATACTACCCATTTTTGAAGAAAATTTATCTTAAAATGTTGGGTTTATAATCAATTACAAATTGTTTATAATGAAATGAAAAGGAAATAGAAGAATGAAAACTTTCAACAGCTGTAACTTTTTATTGACAATAATCTAATGACACTATTGACATTACTGACATGACAGTTAGCTGAATGCATTCAGCTCCAGAACTTTGCCATCTCTCTTCAACACACCTTCTTCAAGAAAGGACAGCAAACAGCAGCTGATTGGTGGTTTCCAAACAAAATGACAACCAATGAAAACCCAACCACGTCTGACTGTTGTCAAAAAAAAAAATACAATTTATTCAAAAACTGTGATAAAAAGTAATTATTTTCCAGCGACCAAACCAGGGCCAGTACAATTTAATCCAATTATTGAAAATGATCAGCAACTACATTACAGCACTCAGTTTATTCCTTTTATTTTGCTACATCAATGCACAATCAGTGGTACAGAATGTGAAACTCGACAATAAAGAAGTTCGCTGTTTGGGTAAGATTTTTTTAAATATCCCCAAAAAAATCTAAAATAATACATTATTAATTAGTATGCGAAGTGACAATCAAAGAATTAACAGCCCTAGTTCTAAAAAGCGACAAAACCAAGACAGTCAAAGTCGGAGGACACCGGCTAGATGCAAACGGCAACTACGATGCCCCGAAAAGCGTCCCATTGGATAAATCTGAGATTTATTTGTCCGAATTAATGGAGAAAGTATGTAATACAATGGACGATTACGTTAGGGGCTTGTTCAAGTCAAACAAGACCCTCACTTTGATGAAAATGATCGAGGATGGAAAAATGAATCCGCACATGGATTCAGTCGAGTTTGTGCAGGACGACGATTTGAATAAGAGCTTAAAATATTATGTAAGTTGATAATTTAGTATGGGATTAGTGTCTGAAATGATTAATTGTTTCAGTGCGAGTCGATTATAGAAGTGCACGAGGAAGATATTATTGAATTTTATCAAGGAGACAAGGATCTTGATAAGTTTTGTGTTGAGGAACGTGTTTGCCCGTTGAAACAGGAAATGCCCCAAGAAGAAACTGATATTTTTGGTAATGAAGATGAACTTTCTGAAGCACTAGGAGATATTAAAAAAGAAGAAGAAATTGCTGCTGAGGTTTTTGAAGATTTTTCTGAAATATTATCCGAGCTTCCTGAAAAAGAACTGTGATTATTCGTATTACGAGTGTTGTTATTACATTAATAATGAAATTGAAATTTTTCGATAGATTTTTTTTAAAATAAATGTTATTTAATTGTTGGATTTCAAAGATATTTATTATTTATTTATGAGAAGAAAATCACAAGGATTTCGGCCTAAACAGTCTACCTTATGTTAATTATCAGTGCCGTCAAGCTTATTATTTTTTTAAATTTATCTATTTCCTTCTTGCCAACGAATTCAAATGCAAACATACTGTCCCTTCACCTCACTAGTCAATAATATTTCTATTCCCGGCTCTCGTAGAATAGTGAACTCTAATTCTGATCATTTTAGAGTAGATTTGATGAAGAGCCTTTTAACTAAATATGTATTGCTGCTAAAAATTTTGACAAACAGTTGAATTTAGAGGTTTTGAGACGCTCATTTTGCATCAAAATAGAGCTGAAACTTGACTTGGAAAAATAATCATCTTATTCCCAGCTATGCTAGTCTCCTATGTTGAGGTTAATACACTCCTAATATTGAAATCAAACTAGAGAAGTATTAAACTCCTCTGATTAGAGCTTAATTACATTGAAATCAGTTAAAAATTAACGGATTTTGAGGCAAAAACTGTCTCAATGTCATTTTTGGCAAATTTTCAATTTTTGATAAATTCGATTTTGAAGCTTCTCAGGTGCAAAACTTTTGGAACCAAATTGAAATTCTGATTGATAGATTTGTAGAGAATTCAATTGGCTTTAATTAGAGCCTAATTACATTGAAATCGGAGCAAAATTAACGGAACTATGAGGCAAAAACTGTTTCGATGTAATTTTTAGCAAATTTTCAATGTTCGATAAATTCAATTTTGAAACTTCTCAGGTGCAAGACTGTTGAAACCAAATTAAAATCCTAATTAATAGGTTTGTAGAGAATTTAATTGGCTTTAATTAGAGTCTAATCACATTGAAATCAGATAAAAATTAACGGAGCTGTGAGGCAAAAACTGTCCCAGTGTAATTTTTGGAAAATTTTCAGTGTATGATAATTTCGATTTTCAAGATTCTCTGCTGCAAAACTGTAGAAACTAAATTGAAATCTTAATTAATAAGTATTTAGAGAATATAATTGGCTTCAAGGAGAGCTTAATTACATTGAAATTGGATAAAAGTTGATGGAGCTGTGAGTCTCAGTGTTATTTTTGGGAAAATTTTCAATGTTCGATAAATTCAATTTTGAAGCGTCTCAGGTACAAAACTGTTAAAACCATATTGAAATCATAATCGACCGGTTTATAGAAAATTCAATTGGCTTTAATTACAGTTTAATTACATTGAAATCGGATAAAAACTACCGAAGCTGTGAGGCAAAAACTGTCTCAATATCATTTTTAGCAAATTTTCAATGTACCATAATTTCGATTTTGAATCTTCGATCTCATTTGCAAAACTGTTGGAACTAAATTGATATTCTAATACAAAGGTTTGTAGAAAATTTAATTGGCTTTAATTGGAGCTTAATTACATTAGAATCGGATGAAAATTAACGGAGCTGTAAGGCAAAAACTGTCTCAATGTAATTTTTGGCAAATTTTCAATGTTCGATAAATTCAATTTTAAAGCTTCAGGTGCAAAACTGTTAGGACCAAATTAAAATCTCAATTAATACTTTTGTAGAGAATTTAATTGGCTTCAATAAGAGCTTGATTACATTGAAATCGAATAAAAATTAACGGAGCTGTGAAGCAAAAACTGTCTCAGTGTCTTTTTTGGAAAATTTTTAATGTTCGATAAATTTTGAAGCTTCTCTGGTACAAAACTGTTTGAACCAAATTGAAATCTCAATGAATAGATTTGCAGAGAATTTAATTGGATTTAATTAGAGCTAAATTACATTGAAATTGCATGAAAATTAAGGGAGCTGTGAGACCGAAACTGTCTCAATGTAATTTGTGGCAAATTTTCGATGTTCGATAAATTCAATTTTGAAGTTTCTCATCTTGGTCACAAGTTTATAGAGAATATAATCAATTAGAGCTTAATTACATTGAAATCGGATGAAAATTAATTGAACTGTGAGGCAAAAATTGTCTGTGTAATTTTTGGCAAATTTTCAATGTTTGATAAATTCAATTTTGAAGCTTCTCAGGTGCAAAACTGTTGAAGCCAAATAAAATCTTAATTGATAGGTTTGTAGAGAATTCAATTGGCTTTAATAAGAGCTTAATTACATTGAAATTGGATGAAAATTAACGGAGCTGTGAAGCAAAAACTGATTCAGTGTAATTTTTGGAAAATTTTCAATGTTCGATAAATTTTGAAGCTTCTCTGGTGCAAAACTGTTGGAACCAAATTAAAATCTTTATTATTGAATTTGCAGAAACCAAATCAAAATCTCAGTCACAGGTCTATAGAGAATATAATTAGTTTTAATTAGAGCTAAATTACATTGAAATCGGATGAGAATTAATTGAGCTGGGAGGAAAAAACTGTCTCAGTGTAATTTTTGGAAAAATTTTCTATGTTTGATAAATTTTGAAGCTTCTCTGGTTCAAAGGTGTTAAAATTAAATTAGAATCTCAATTCATAGCTTTTTAGAGAATTTAGTTGGCTTCAGTTAGACCTAAATTACATTGGAATCGGATGAAAATAAACGGAGCTGTGACGCAAAAACTATCTCAATGTAATTTTTGGCAAATTTTCAATGTTCGATAAAATTTTGAAGCTTCTCAGGTGCAAAACTGTTGAAACCAAATAAAAATCTTAGTCAGGTTTATAGAGAATATAATTGGCTTTAATTAGAGCTTAATAATATTGAAATCGGATAGAAATTAACGGAGCTGTGACGCAAAAATTGTCTCAGTCATTTTTAGAAAATTTTCAATGTTGGATAAATTCAATTTTCAAGATTCTCAGGTGCAAAACTGTTACAGCTAGATTAAGGTCTGAATTAACAGGTTCGTAGAGAATTCAATTGGCTTTAATTGGAACCTAATTGCGTTGAAATCGGATGAAAATTTAAGGAGCGTCAGGCAAAAACTGTCGCAGTGTAATTTTCATTTTGCACCAATAAAGCTGAATCTCAACTGGGAAAAATCTCGGCCCTCCGAGAGCAATTAACTCTAATTTTTAATCATCCTAAAGTTGTTGAGGAATATGGCGGCTCCACACTCATTTTTGACGTTTCTGTAGCTAAATTTAGACATTAACTACAGAATTGGTTATGCTGCCCTATACATGATTTCTTCAGCAAAGAATCTCAGGATTAACATTGATCCTTCTCTTCCATTCTCAATCAACAGGTAAATTAGCAGTAGAATTGACTAAACCAAATATTAACAAAGGAAAAATATTTAAATTCTTTTATTTAGCACCTTTAACAAAAACACAACACCGCAGTTTGACGAAACAATGATATAAAAAAATATTAATACATAATAAAAGGAATGCAAACAAAATTATCAATAATATTTTTACAACTTCGCGTTGGCTTTTAATAAGGGAGCCAACTTTTGAGCCATCATAATGTTTCCGGTAATCTTCAGCTTGCCCTTCATAAAAGCCTGTTGTGGTTGCAACTTGCCTTCGGCCAGTAACAGAAAATCTTCGTCGGAAACTGTCAAGGTGGTGTTGGGTTTGGATTCTGGAGTGCCTTGGTAGACTTTGGCGTTTTTAAGGTCCATAGCTAAGAAAATTTTATATGAAGTATATTTTTTTAAAATGAGAAATAGTTTCTTACTCCATTGTTTAACTTCTTTGCCGTTCTTGGTGATCTTGTACAAAAATACACCTCCTATTGACTTAGCTTTGCTCGCATCAGCTTTAACTTGGTCGATGATGAATTCGAAGATGGCATCGCTTTTAAGGCCTTCGGCTGATAGTTTGTTGGCTTGTGGTGGCATTTTGATTGATTTTAGATCTACGTAGGCACCTGAGGAAAATATTTTCATAAATTTTTTTATACTATATCATCATAAATTGTCATTTACATAACAATGTAGAGGTTTATCGATAAAATTCCCACAGTTTTTTTAACTTTAATGAAAGCCATAAAAAAATTGTGATGTCTAGTTTTATATCAATATTAAGGTACTTATTGGTAATGAAAATTAAATAAATATTCACTCAAATTCAACAACTTTAGGTAGATAATGGTTAATGGATCCAAAGTACAGAAAATAAATTAATAAAAATTCAATAACTTATAATTTGATGAAAATCACAATTTCAACATTTCTTAAAGACAGTGTACCCGCCCCTCATTATCCAAGCCATATTTTTGTTTGGCCAAATCCAAATAGGACAAATTTTCCTTTCTCAACCTCATTTAGGTGCTACTGAAAAGTTGATGTAATTTCAGGAAATGAATTGAGCCGATAACGTTTTAGTTAATTCAATTTCAGGCATAAAATATAATCTTTTTGACAACAGTTTCAAAAGACAAAAACATATGATACATTTTTGGGTTAGTAGTAGTAGACCAGAGAAAGTAGGTAATGAGATCCAAATAAGAATGAAATTCACAGTTTTAACCAATCAAATAAGCATAGAAGGGTAATAGGAGTGATTATATATAATAAAAACTCCCTAATTTACCTGCGAATCTGCTACAAATTGACCTACAAGGAATCCAACACTAAACTGGCCAATCAATAAATTATTAATAACTTATTACGCACTCAAATTTGATAAAACACTTCAGATTGCTCTATTGTTGCAGTGCAAAATGTAAAAATGTATAGTAATCTTATTCTAAAGGTCAGTCGACTATAATTAACACTTGAACATTGACCTGTAATTAAACAAAAATTTAAATAAAAAAAACGCCCTAAAAATACATTGTTGCCAAATCAGGTTCCGTGTGCCACGTTCGAAAACATGGTTTAATGGTGAGAAAATTTATTTTCAAGAAATTGGCTTCCCTCGCAGGTGAATTTTTGTTTCTCATTAGAAAAAATTCTTGACTCACCGGTAATCACAGCTTGATTCGTCTCGACGACCACAGTTTCAAAATGAATCCTATTCCCATCCCGCCACATATCGACTCGCAATGTTTGTCCTGGAACCACCGGTTTACTAAATCGAGCCTTTACCGCTTTAAACAGCGAAGTATCGTGACCGGTAAAAGCTGACAATACCGACCTCACTGAGATGCCCAAACTGCAAAGGCCGTGCAAAATGGGTGTCTCGAAACCGGCCATTACTGCCATGTTGGGGTCGATGTGAAGCGGGTTCCTGTCTCCGCTCAGACGGTACAGGGCAGCCTGATCGATACTGGTTTTGTGTGTGATAGACAAATCTGGTGTTCTTGACGGTTTGTTGAGGCAGGGAATAGTTTTGGTACCTTGACGGGGCCCACCAAATTTACCTGCACCGACTGCGAAGCTCACAAGTTGGTTTTTGACTATCAAGTTATTGTTTTTGTCAAAGGAGTCAACTAGAATTGAAAAAGTAATAATTAGTGATAATTGTTGAGAAATAATTCACTTATAGGCTACCATTGATAATCATTGCAGCTCCAGATCCTTTATCTAAAACCTCAACTAGTTCTAACTTTTGGAATAGTTGGCCGTCCATTGGTAGCTCACCAACAACCTCCAAGTATTGTTCTCCATGTAAAACTTGACTAAGATCAATCGTTTTTCCAATAGCAGCCCCCATATTGATATCAGAAGAAAACACCGCTTGCAAAGAGGGTAAAATAAAGAAGGTTGGCAGTACAGAAAACTCTTCGTGACTCTCATAGAGATACTTGAGCTCATTGTTATTGGCTAGAGAGGCACCAACTACAAACAAAATTCAATAGTCTAAAGGCCTTTTTTAATAAGTTCTTATTATCACCTCCTAGAGCATATAAAATGGTATCCCGGTTGGTGAAGTCAAAAACATCTGGACTATCCTGTGCCTGTGAGACATCGGAAGTTTTCAAACCTTCCAAATTTTCGATTAGAGCACCAGTAACTTCTTGAATTGCTCTATAAATTAGCTTTTATATTGAAAGAAAACATTTTCATTGATTCCATACCCGAATGTTCCAGCCTTATCCATATCAGTGATTCTATCCCAATTTTGAGCCACTTTTTCAACGGTGACACCATCCTGAATTGAAGATCTTAACAAAGCCCCGTTAGATCGCACCAAAGTTACTTTTCCAGCCCACCCGCCGGCTGACTCCACAACGGAACCGTTTTCTTGACACGAATCGTGACATAAATAGGCCTAGAATTGAATTAATTAATAATGGAAAAGATTTTCATTCAACCAGAAAATGGTGTAGTTAAGTCTAAAAATGAAAATTTCATTAAGAATAATAATTTTAAACTGTATATCGGTACCAATTATTTTGTTCTAAATTCTACAAGGTCTTAAAAATGTTAGAACCACTAACAAGAGAAGCGATTGATCAATACTTATTATTGGAGGCCACCCTGTACAAAGTTCAATTTTTTTAGGTTTGTAGAATTCAGACGGTTTTTTCAATTTTTTGGAAAAAAATGCTTCTAGCCTACATAGGAGTAGCCCTTGAAATTTCATCTGAAAATTCTAGAGTGTCTCAAAAAGTTAGGAATTGTTTTCAACTCATTCTAAACATTTTCTTTTCTGATTCTCAACATAAATATCATTCCTACCACAACAGGAGCAATAAACTCGGGTTTCAGCTCATTGAAAACCTCTGGAGGTAAGATATCTTCAGTCAATCTACTGGCAGCAGTTGGGACAATGACGTTACAATAAACGTTGTTTCTGGCTCCTTCGATACCGACAGTTTTAGCCAGACCGATCAAAGCCATTTTGGCCGCACTGTAATTTGCCTGGCCGAAATTACCGTACAAGCCGGAGTTTGAAGAAGTCATAATGATACGGCCAAAGTTTTGCTTTTTCATTATCGGGAAAGCTGCTTGGGTGGTTTTGAAGCTACCTTTCAAGTGAACTTGATGGACCAGATCTAAGACAAGTGATTTTTGTTAGATTACAATTTAGAATTGAGAAGTTATTGTTATTACCCCAATCTTGGTCGGTTAACTTAACTAAGCTTTTGTCACGTAAAATTCCAGCATTGTTTATTAATATATCCACTCTTCCAAAATTGTCTAGAGCTGTTTTAATAAGTTTCTCTCCATCTATCACTGAGTTATAATCAGCTACAGCTGTGCCCCCTTTAAAAACAAACAAATATTTTCTGAAACTGCAATAAACATACTAATATTACCATTTCTTCTAATTTCTTCAACAACATCGTCAGCAGCTTTAGAAGAACTTCCATCTCCGTGTCTGCCGCCTCCCAAATCGTTAACCACCACTTTGGCTCCTCGGGAAGCGAATAATAAGGCATAGGTTCTTCCTAGGCCCGCTCCAGCCCCAGTGACTATCACTACTTTACCATCGAATCGTAGATCTGCCATGTTTGTGTGACGCTACTAGCAAACTAAAATTTATTTGTCGTACGATTGTAATTATTCGATGATATATCTTGAACTTTGACCATGTAATGTTGCTGAGGAAAGATTATGAATGCAAAACAATGAAGTGAAGTTTCAGTGGTTTATTCAAATTGACCTTATCACATCATTTGAAAAATATATATTTATTAGACACTTTTTTCTTTTGAATCTTGATGAGAAAGTTTTTAATCTTTCCTTGGCCTTAATTACAATAATAGTATTTTAATGTAACAAATTTAAAGGAGCTTACTTACCTAGAATGGAAATTTACACAAAGATATTGGACAAGTATCTGCCACTGTACAATTAATTAGAATAAATAATAATTGAAACAATTAAAATCAAAAGAGAAAATTAAACAACAAAAACACTAGTGGATTGTTTTTAATTTCAACTAACCTTCTCAGAAACTAGATGGCGTCTGTCAAAAAGTCGTTTTCATGTTTTCATGTGACCGCACTGAATATTTCTGATACACTTCGTACGGTTTAACTTACTCCAAGTACTCCTTTACACACTCCAACCTTTCAGATATAACTTTTTAGCGTAAATAAAACAAATACGTTCACACATGCGTAAACTACACACTTGACGCACTCTTCAGAAACGTGAATTTATTTCACAGGCGTAAAGTAATTCACTTTACACACTAGTGCGTGAAAAGTTTAATAAATTGTTTTGTATAGTTACTTTGCAAAAATGCATAAATACCAACAGTTATAAAAGTACGATAATAAAAACCTATGCCGCTCTTTTTTACATTAATGGCGTTTCCGATTGGTAGATTCAGTGCGCACTGAGTGTTTTTGCATTCTTCTAATCAACCTGTAGATGAAAAAGACAGAAATAGAAAAAATTGCACTAGTTCCGCACTAGATCTACTAATCGGAAACGCCATAAGAATGTGATATTACTTCAGACACTACAACATAAAGTTGGGAAAAATTATTCTGAATTTAGGAATTTATACTATAGTGTCACTAGTAGATTTTTTTTTTGTAACATGTGTGTGGTGAACTGTGTAGCCTCTTTCTTCATTCATGTGATTTCCGCACTCGCCTTTTCATTTTACACACTTGTTGCATAAAGAGCTATTTTATCTTCGAGCGGTCTATAATTTGAACTTTCTTTGTCGGCAACACTTGATACAGAAGTGAAACGTGATCCATTTATGTTTCTGACTCTGGGACAATGAACTATAGCCAAAAACTGGAATGCGCACACATTGCTATATCTGCCAAAAAAATGTAGCCATGAAAGACAGATGCCACAAAGGGGAATGTTGTTTTTTTCTGTTGCTCGCTGACATATGACGTTTTGGACAGTTTTGTCATATTTGCCTTCACAGGTTTCATCAAATGGAATACGTGTTGGAAGCAATTTCCGCCATTTAACATAATGAGTGCGACAAAAACAGGTATCCCCTCCGCAGCAGCGGCACTAGGCTTCACGTTCGTCAATATGTGTTCGCATTCCAGTTTTTGGTTATAGTTCATTGCTCTGGGACAATAAAGATTTTTATGAATGGGGTAATTTGTTCGGTTTTTTTGTCGCTAGAGGCAGCAGCGTCAATTATTTTGTGTTCTCTTCGCGCTAGATGGCAGCGTCAACCACCCACCACTACAGTGACTCTATAACCCACAGTGGCGACAATTGCTGTCTCATTTTTGATTGGTTCTAAAATCCCATATATTTATATTAAAAACGCCGCCATCTTGTTCCCAACCCTGTGTTACTTTTAAATATGAATATATGGGATTTAGGCAAGAATCGTAAACTCTACAGGATTGCTCAATCGCCTAAATTTGTTCACAATTGCTGTGACGTCACGCGCATGCCGGATTTTCAAGATGGCCGCTGATACGAATATGATGTTTAGTTTGTGCTGACAACTATTTTATCGTAAATTCGGATTTATCTAGAGTTATAAGTGTAAATTTAAAGTTTCATTTAATGTGTGTAAGCATAAAAGACTCGTGGCTGAAAATACTCGCGAAAACCCCAAGCATTTTCTGGTTTTATAATACTGGATTTGTTGTATCAGGACATCGCTCTTTTATTTGTGTGTATTGCTAGCTAACTCTAATTAGGAAATACTAATATTTCCTAGTCAAGCATTTGTTTTGCTTTTTTTTTATAAATCAAATATCTACTTAGTTGTAAGTTTCCTTTGCATGTAATTACTAATAAAAATTAGGGTTTGTGAAGAGTGAATAAATAAATATGTAAATAAATTCCTTTACTGGCGCGTTTACTATGAAAACGCATGGAAAATATGGGAAACTTGCAATGTTTTTCTGGAATATGATTATGAGAATCTAAATTAGGTATCTCTATTTGGCTTTGTGAAATAAGCTCACTTTGAATGTCCATATTAAATCGTTCTAGTACCTATTAAATTAATGAATAATAATTGAGAAGTACCTAGGTAGGGTCAGTAAAAAATAAAGCACACTATTGCAACCCCGTTTCGCTTATATTTTGATATTGAAATGCAAAAATTAAACCGGCTCGGCACTCCACATTTGGTTTTCTACTGTTTCTCAACTGTAGTCAATTGTGCCCGTTTTGTGCTCAATTGTGCCAGTATTTATGCGAATTGTGCTCATTTTCATACACAAAAAAAACATTGAAACGAATCCGGGGGCCAGCTTGACTCCAGCCCTTCGTTTTTTTGACTTTTTGGCAATATGTTTGGCTAATTTATAAACAAAAGCAAACAAACTCGTCTTTCTAATTAGCAATTAGCCAACCACTCAAGCCTCAAGGACACAAGCTTTTGAAGTCTGCTAATTTTAAAATCAATAAATTAATTACAAAATACAGTTTTCAAAGGAAATAACCTCAAAATAACAATTTTTCACGTTTGAAAATGCAAGGATAGTGCACTGTCATAAAAAACACAAACCGATCAAGGACTGCGTGACGTTATTCGCATACCGCCATCTTCGATGTTTTTATGAACGTTTGTCTTATGGGATTGAGCAATCCTGTAGAGTTTACAATTCTTGGGATTTAGGTGAACATCCATCATAAATCATGGAAAACAACGTATTTGATGGACCTAATAATGGTCAGCAAATACGTCGATTTCAATTTTTTATGATAGATGACAATTTAAATCCTATATACTAATATTTAAAAGTAACAAGAGGTTGGGAACAAGATGGCGGCGAGACCTCTATTGTCGCCACTGTATGTAAAGGTTTATTTAGCCACTGTACCCACCACTACAGTGGCTAAATAAACCTTTACATAGCGTCAACCACTCACCACTCTTACCACTACAGACTACAGTGGCTAAATAAACCTTTACATACAATGGCGACAATAGACGTCCCGCCTTTATCGTAAAAAATTGAAAAAAACGTATTTCATGACTATTATTATTATAGGTACCATCGTCACCAAGCACAAAATGGCGGCGTTTTCCATATGAATATATGGAATATATTAAATTTTAAAAAACCAATCATAAATAAGTAATTGTCGCCACTAGTTGTATTCCTTTCAAACCTAGGAGGAGCTCCGGGGCGGTACACGCTTCCTTTCGAAAAGTGTTTGTTGCACTAGTTGTATTCCTTTCAAGGCTTTGAAACACTCGAGCTACTGGCTCCGGTGTTTTAAGCCTAGTACTCATAACTACGAAATTCGCTCTTTTTTGACATTGCTTCGACAATTTGACGTTTGATTCACGCATAAAATGCCGAAGTGCCACTTCGCTACCAGATTGATTAAGGATGGGCCTTACGAACGTCCATGTTCGGAGCAGTAGAATGTGCTCAGAGTGACCTAATAAAGCCTGTGTAGTTCAAATCTTGAGCCCACCACCTTGCCAAAGTACCAGTGATGACGTAGTCAGCGTATCGTTTTTCGCCTTGACGTAGAGTATTTACACCACAGGCTATAATTAATTCCGCTGGCTTTTGTTTATGAATAGTTGATTAGGTTGTCTGGTAATGGGAAACAGATGACGTCATCTGGGGTGCTAATGGAGATTTGCATTATGTTTAGGCACCCTAGATGACGTCATAAAAGTTATCAGGCAACCTACCTGTTTCAAACAACCTTGTACTATTGGTTTTAGTACCTATATTAGCTCACACAAACATTCATATGAAAGTCACATTTCTCCATGTAAAAATGTCATTTTAACTTTTAAGGAATACTTATCGCTGGCTTCCTTATGCCTCATTCTCACTTGCGCGAAATTTGCTCTTTTTGCGTGATATTCGCTCTTTTTTTGACATTGCTTCGACATTGTTAGAAAGTTTTATCAGGTAATGACAAACGTGAATTCAGGGCCACAACGGTCCCTGTTTGGGAATCGGCCCACTGAGCAGTGGACTCTCAGGCTTCCCGTGCCAATCCTTGACGCGTTTCGTCCTTGTTAGGACTCATCAGAAGGACATAGGCTGAAGGTCTCTGTCCAAGCAAAATTGAACTTTGTTGACCAGTCAGAAACAACTACTCCGAGGGGCCATTGTGGTCCTGAATTCACGTTGGTCATTACCTGATAAAACTTTCTAACAATTTCCATTGCCAACGAAAGCTCAGACCAATCAGTGTAGTTCAATGCCGGTAGCGGTATTTGCCCTCGGAGAGGTGTTTCTGATCAACAAAGTTCATTGCTTCGACAATTTGACGTTTTATGCGTGTATCAAACGTCAAATAGTCATAGCAATGTCAAAAAAGAGCGAATTTCTCGCAAGTGAGGATGAAGCTTAAAAATAGTCGGTGCAAACCAAGGATAATACACATACTACTACTACAGGATAGCCTATCTGCATAAGGCCTGTCTGGAACAAATCTGAAGCCCCTCACCACACCAAATCACCAGTTGTGACGTGCAGTATGACCACGTGACCATATACCCACTCTCACCCTCGGGTAAAATTTAACCCTTTTTCGAACGCACTCCAGAGGTGCTTTCCAGTGACCCATTTGAGTTACTCCTGAGCAGCTCAGGAGTGCTCCACAATTGTTTTGGGCGTTCCAGTGCTTAGAGTGTCGTACACTTGAGCTACTCATTTCTGTTATCCCCTGTCCCCTCGTGTACCAACCCTTTTGTCTGTTTCATGGTCCTGAAATCCGAAATGGTGGGGGTTAAGACGAGAGCGTTCCAATAGTTGTATTCCTTTCAAGAGCTTGAAACACTCGAGCTACTCGCTTCGGTGCTTAGTCGCCCCCGATTTGCAGGGAACATATGCGTGGTGCAACAAACACTTTTCGAAAGAAATAAGCGCGTGAAGCCCCGGAGCTGTTCCGGAGCTCGTCCTAGGTGTGAAAGGAATACAACTAATGCTGCTTATGTCGAACAGTTCAAGAGCGTCACACTTCAGGAGCATGATACTCTAACAATTTAGGCACTGGAAAGCGGCTCAGGAGTGCGTCCGAAATCACTCTGGGCGTCACACCGAGTGCACACCAGCCATGTGTTATTCATGGCTGGTGTGCATTCGGTGTGACGCCGTGACGCCCAGGGTGGTTTCGAACGCCCATTAGTAGTAAATAGTAGTATGAGCTGGCAACGCTGCATTAACGACTTCGATTAAGTGTAGAGCACACAGAACAGAAACCAAAAATTAGTTTAATGTTTAGGAATTAAAAGTCCATTTGAACTTAAACTATTTGAACCTAATTATTTTAATCCGTGCATTACTTAAAGCTCCCAATATGTAAATTTACACAAGAAACAGAAAAGCACATATATTTAAGTTGGTATTATGTATATTCAATTCAAAATTGACAACAATGACATTTCTCTAAATAACAACCGTTTTTCCATTCCTTCGATTTTCGAATTTGGTTTGAACTTGTTTGTGTAGTGTGGTACGTTTTTGCCAGTTTTTTAATAAAATTCAACTATTTTCCTCCAAAAAGCCGCACACAACGATGGACCGAGAAGAATTACAGCGTAACATTTTCTATTCCGATAAATATTACGACGACAAATACGAATACAGGTGAGTTTTTTTTTGTGGACCCGTTTACTCTAACCTTGATATTTGTTAACGGACCATCGACGCTTCTTTGTCTCGAGACGAATTGCTAAAAGAAAATGTTTTCAGGCATGTGGTTATACCAAAGCAACTTGTAAAGTACGTCCCCAAAACTCACCTTATGTCTGAAGAAGAATGGAGATCAATCGGCATTCAACAAAGTAAAGGCTGGGTGCATTACATGACTCACAAGCCAGGTGAAAATTATTCAGTTTTTGTGTATATTTAGTCAATAATAACAATCATTGCTGTTGCAGAGCCCCACGTTCTTTTGTTCAAAAGATTGATCACGGACCGACCAGAGAATTAGGCCTTCCTGTCCCCTTATTTTTATGCAGTTTCTTTAAAATTGTTGGTTATTAATTAGTGTATATATGTAGTTGCTAATATTGGCGGCCTAATTTTTTTTTCAAGAGTGAAAAAGATTAGCTGCCCCACACGTATTTTGTAATAATATTATTATTTCTTTGTATTGAGTTGAATAATGTCCTTCACAATGATTTTGATCTGATTCAAATACAAATTCAGTATTGCTTTTTTTTGGAAAATTGTTAATTCGCTCTTTTGTTCAAATAATCGTTTGTCTTTATTACTTTGTTTTTTAATTATTGTCTTATTATCTTTGATATCATTTTGATCACCTCTACAAAACATACAGGTGATCAAAATGATATCAAAGATAAGAAAAACAGAGTTTACATGGTGTTTGTCTAGTTGGTTCAAAGAAACATGTCTATTAACTTCCATTAATTGTCCAAATCTGTTAAAATATAAGGCTGTTATTAACACTTACGAGCTGATTTTGGTTTTCCCGTGCTTTTTTTTAAATGTTAAGTCTAGCTGTAGTTTTTTATATAAATATTTCTTTTTCCTCGCAATATTATGTGGAGTTGGCAGAAATAAAAGCATTTTTTTACATAGTGCGTTTTGATTAGCTTCCTAGCGTTTTTATAATTGTTCTTTTCACAGGACCTACGAAAAAGTTCTAAAAGAATAGTGTCCAACCAAAAAGTCTTTTAGGAGAAAGGCCTTTGAAGCCCTGTGACTGTTTAAAAAAAGCTCTTAAGACGAAATGTCACTATAACTTTTGGTTTTATGTGAAAATCCTCATCTGTTATTCTAATTATGTACACAATTATACAGGGTGTCCCACGGTGGATGGTGTATTAGACGTTTATGGAGAACTAAAAAGCGGATCATTTAGAAAATTTGGCAACCGGGATAAACGACCATGATCACAGCCCCATGATCTACACTTTAAAAATATTTTTGACCATGCGGTGTTGCCGCTTCTACTCTAAACTAGTGGCAGCATCACTATTTTAAATGGAACATCCCGTATTAAATTGTATATTTGGATTCTACGTAAAATTCTGAGCAGATTTCATGTGATATACCCTATACCTAAGTTCAACTGTTTTGGAAATATTGAAAGTTGAAAATTGACTTTTTGCAACTTTGACAGACTGTAAAACCTAATTGGTTAATTTTAGAGGAAAATCGATTTCACATTCCTATCTTAGATTTTGATAAACTATCATTTGACACCAACAAATTTAATTCAAAGATGGTATCAAATGATAGTTTATAAAAATCTAAGATAGGAATGTGAGATCGGTTTTCCTCTAAAATTAACCGTTCCGGTTCTACAGCCTGTCAAAGTTGCAAAAAGTAAATTTTCAACTGTCAATATTTCCAAAACAGTTGAACTTAGGTATAGGGTATATCACATGAAATCTGCTCAGAATTTTACGTAGAAACCAAATATGCAATTTAATACGGGGTGTTCCATTTAAAATAGTAATGTTGCCACTAGTTTAGAGTAGAAGCGGCAACACCGCATGGTCAAAAATATTTTTAAAGTGTAGATCATGGTCGTTTATCCCGGTTGCCAAATTTTCAAAATGATCCGCTTTTTAGTTCTCCATAAACGTCTAATACGCCATCCACCGTGGGACACCCTGTATATCTTTTTTAACTTGCTCCAAAAATTCTTCCATCCAATTTCAACCCCTTTTCTGTTTCTTTACCTTTATATATTTCACATATTAATCTTTTATATTGATTCTATTTCCTTTTCCTTTCCATTGCGTTATTCTACATTTTTTCTTCCTGTCCACTCAATATTATTATTGGGACTTTTACATCAAACAGAGTTCATCAGCGTTGCCAGGACTATTTTTTAAATTGTATCAGAACCTCAGTGCAAAATGTACTGAATTTCAACTTTTTGTACTAAAACATAAAAAGCCATGTTAAACTTTCAGAGTCTTTATTTTTATCAAACACAGAGAGAAATACAAACTAAAAAATAAAAATGTATTTTCCAAAAAAAAAAAGAAACATAAATGACTTAGTCCCCAGTACATCGACCTTAAAATTTTGTAACTCATGTACACGCCCAACTTCCTGAGCGGCTTCATAACACCAAGTCGGACAATATTTTTCATGTCTCCACCCTGGGCGATGGGACATTGCTGCGCTAGCTCTTCGTGAAGTTGTCGTTCTGACGTCCCTAAGGAAGTTGATACATGTACGTGTGGTTTCAATGCCAATGGAATGTTTTTTACATTACATTAACGATATCACATTTGTCGGACAAAAACCATGTGGCTTTGGGGAAGGTCCGACACCCTCAACATGTCGCTGTGGCGTCCCTGAGGAAGTTGATACATGTACGTGTAGATTTAATGCCAATCGACTGTTTTTTGTATTACATTACCGATATCATATATGTCGGACAAAAATCACGTGGCTTCGGGGGGCTCCGACGTTCTCAACATGTCGCTGTGGCGTCCCTAAGGAAGTTGATACATGTACGTATGTTTTTAATACCAATCGACAGTTTTTTACATCACATTAACGATATCACATTTGTCGGACAAGAAATTTGAGACAATCAATGAAAAAATTAAAATAAGTTTGCCTTAACGCAACGTGCATATTAGTCAGTTTATTATTTACCTACTTTGACAAATACCTGTGGGGCCCTGTGTCATATTCCCTGATCTGTTTTTTTGATAGTTCTCCGAGTATTTACGGAAATTATTTAGTAAACGCGGTCATTCAAAACCACGCGTGTGAGAAAGAATGGATATTCAGTCGTGTTTTTTGTGCAATCTCAGGAGTGAAGATCCTGAATTTCGGCAGAAATTGATCAATAGGACTTTTGTTGTCCGACTGACTTTAATACTCATTTTATTTGTCCGACATTTACTACACATGTTTTAAAATTACATTGTTATTCATAATTATTTTTGTCGGGTATACATGTATCAACTTCCTTAGGGACGCCACAGCGACATGTTGGGGGCGTCGGACCCCCCCAGAGCCACGTGATTTTTGTCCGACCTATGTGATATCAATAATGTAACATAGAAAACAGTCGATTGGCATCAAAACCACACGTACATGTATCAACTTCCTCAGGGACGCCACAGCGACATGTTGAGGGCATCGGAACTTCACCAAAGCCACATGGTTTTTGTCCGACAAATGTGATATAGTTAATGTAATATAAAAAACAGTCGATTGGCATTGAAACTACACGTACATGTATCAACTTCCTTAGGGACGTCAGAACGACAACTTCACGAAGAGCTAGCGCGGCAATGTCCCATCGCCCAGGGTGGAGATATGAAAAATATTGTCCGACTTGGTGTTATAAAGCCGCTCAGGAAGTTTGGCGTGTACATGAGTTACAAAATTTTTGGGTCGATGTACTGGGGACTAACTCTATAAATTAGGAAAAACTAAATAGTTTTAAGGCAAAAATATAAACAACTTCTGAATTCTGAATTTGGAAAAGAAACGGATTCTTGAGAATATTGAATATTATACATATTTGAGGGCAGCGAAAAGCTGAAACAAAATGGGCTATTCATAAATAACGCTTCTCATTCGGGAGAACGGGGATTCCCCAAAACACGTGGCGAAGCGCGCATCCGCGCATTGGTATTGTCAATGTCAATCAAATAAATACCAGGGTTGCCTTCGAAATCACCTTGGGCGTGGGCGTCACACCGACTGCACACCAGCCATGAATTTTATTTGTGGTGTGCACTCTGTGTGACGCCAGGTTGATTTCGAACGAACTCCAAGGCTGCATCCACAATTATCGCCCGTGCGCGCTCCAGCGCCAGGGTAAATCGTTCACGAATCCCGGGTGAAATTACACCAGAATAGAATTGGGCTGATATCACAGTCGATTGGTCGATTTTTGTTTTTAAGTTTACCAGTCATGATTTTACAATATCAGTAAGGAAATTTTTTATGCCATGAAAATGTACTAGAAATTATCAAATTGTATTTTTGTATAAAAAGACCCAAAATGTATTAGATTAGTACAATTGTACTAGCTCTGGCAACGCTGGAGTTCATGTTCATCCATAGCGCTGAGGTAGGTACCTACTATATGTATTTTCATACCATCTTAACGCTAAAATCTGGCGGAAGCGCCAGGGTGTACAGAATTGGACTGCTGCATAGAGGACCGTTGGTTCTAGATTTTACAGTGCTATTCGGGGTCATTATAGAGGATTGAAATTCGAGGGACAAATTAATGGGGAATTTGAAACCATCACTTGTGCTGAAGTTGCTATTAAAAAAACATTAGTCAAGTCTCGGGAAATCCGACCGCTCACTATAGTAACCTGTCACTACGAACAGTCACGGGCGAATCGACACCAGTTCAAGGAGAAGCTATGGTTGAGCTTACTTCTAGATCTACCACCTTCGGGCACAGAACATAAGTCGCCGATGTAGAGGATAATGTTATTTTGGGAATGGATTTGATCGGCCAACAAGGTTTCTCTTTCGATCCTTCTATGAACATCCTTAAATTTGGTAATGAAGAATTTGTCCTAACTACATAAAAAGAATCTGGAGCCGTTAAGATCCGGCCACAAACCCGGTGAGGATCCCTGAAAGTACTAAAAAGATCAATTGCGGAAAATTGGAAACAAACCCTGGGTGCTGCGTCGTTGGACTAACACATAATTTTATTGGAGATAAACCAGAAAAAATTTTCGTTGGAAAGACTCTATAGTATAAGAAAATATGGAGATATTAGAAGAATTGCCAATGTTTCTTCTAAAACAGTAAAAATAAACTAAATAAAGGAAGTTGATAATATTATTGGCAAATATCGAACTGACCTACCAAATAAGAGACATTTTGTAAAACCCAAATTGGACACCTTGATGCAGACTTTGGAGAAATTATGGAAACACCTCGATCCAGATAGACTTCAAGAAGCCAGTGCACAGGTTTCATGTCTGTGCATCCAGAGGTTACCCATTAGCTGTAAAACACAGGGCTGACCTTAGAGCAGGTAAAGGTAAAGGAGTAGTAACCTGGATTTGGAAAATGAAGCCGTTTTTTTTCAGGTATCTTGGCCCACAAAAAATGGCGGCTATGGCAATTCAATGCTCTACCTGTATTTTGGTGCCAAACACCTGCCAAAAACTTGGCTTCACTTTAGTTTCATAAGCAAAATGGCGCGTTCCTACTCCTTATGTCCGTGGGACAGCGCTTTACCTGCTCTAAGGGGCTGACAATAAATTAGTACAAGACCAAGTGAACGAATTTACATTTAGTTCTATAAAGTCCTTTTTCAAACTAATTTTAAAGTTTTTGAGTTACCTACGTCGGAAATCAATGTCTATAGAGTAGTTGCCTATTTAAAATTTACTCCATAAAAAAATATTACTTGACAAAATTATATTTTCAAGTAACTTTGAAAAATGGTACACCAGCACCTGAATTAATAATAGGCCTGTTCGCACAGCAATCACAAACCAGTCAGAGCGAATTTCATTGGTTGAAAACAATCAGAAACAGTCAGAAACCTAGTTTCAACCAATAAGATTCACTCTGACTGGTTTGTGATTTCTCTGCGAACAGACCTATAGGGCC